AATCAAGTTCAGGACGATACTCAAACCTTCCTGGTTACCCTGGGAACGCAAACACCATCTCCAAGGTTTCTACTACAGCCATTAAAAATTATTATGCAACCTGTAGGTTGTTCAGCAGTCCTTGTTTGAAAGCAAACTGTAAATTGAAAACACTGAGAAAAGGCTACGAATATTTTTGAATCTTTAAAGTGCAGACCAATCATACAGCACCCCCTGGCAGACAGTTCTTAGAGTCAACTGAAAGAGCCAGAAAGCAAAGCCTTCTGCATTTTATCTTTCTATTCCATATTAAAAGAGAATGCAACTATTGGAGAGAAGAAAATTAAAAAGGAATATACTAGCAAATTAGTTAACCCACAGGAATTCAAATGATCCTGCGAAGAATTTCGCTGAGTAGTTGCTGAAATAAATGGCACAAATGAAAACAGGCAGATGAAAATAAATTTCATTTTAACAAAGCTATTTTAAATGACAAATTAACACCACTTAGGTTTGTGCTGGGACTAAAAGACTACAAGTGCTACTTCCCATGTTGTCATACTTTGACACAGAGACTGCAACATGAATGGGAAAAAGAGGCACTTGTCATCAAAAACATATTAAAAAAAATAACCTACCTCTCTCAGAGCACTGCTCTATAGATCTGTACTTTATAACAAGAACTCAGGGTAAACTGCTGCTGGACAAACCATTTCTTAGTACTTCCTGGAAGACATCTCTTTTTTTTTTTTTTTTTTTTTCACATCAATCAACCTTTCCTGCACCATGGAAATTTTCATTCAAAGCATCTTTTAGGTAACTTTGGCCCAACTTTTTTTTTCCCTGGGTAACTTAACAGCCGTTCTCTTTGGCTGCACTTGGCTGTTGAGATTGGCAATTGGAACTACAATATTTTGTACAAATCCAGGGAGGATTTACATCATGCATTCAGATTAACCAAGCTTTCTCATCAAATCCCCCTGAACCCTCGAGCTTCTCTCCAGATCACTTTTGTTCTCCCCCTAAAAACAAAGGGACAAAACATGGTGTGAATCCCTGCCCTGAGGCACTGACTGAACCCCATGGCACAGTACTCAGCAATAGGGCAAATGGTTTTCTTAGTGCAGGAATAATAAAGTGAGGAGAGAACTGGGAGTGGGGTGAGTTTTGGGGGTTTGGAGGACAGGTAGGCTATACTGGGGTGTGGGAGATAACAAGGTGTCACTAGAAGAAGGGGTTCTCCCTAATTAAAGAATCCAAGAGCCATGAGATAAAAGGGAATTTCCTTGCACGCACACAACTGGTTAAAAAATGAAAACAAAGGGCCTGTTGCAAGTGGAATTCCAAAGCAGCTGACAGTAGCACTGACTCTGTTCCACATGATGTGATCTTACTGGGGACAATACGTTAGTCAAGGTAATAAGAGGACTTGACCGAAGAAGGATTCAGAGTAGGGACCTGTCAATAAAGCAGCATCTTTTATTCATCAAGTCTCAAAATAAGGAAAATGAGGTAGTTCTTCAAACAACTCATAGTTGTAAAGGTTTTTGCAGGTGCTGGAAGCTAATTTTGTTCAAGAGGAAGCAACAATTTCATGGCAGCAAATGCCGCTGTTCGCCTCCATGTACGCCGGAATCCCTCAGGAGCCAGGAATTTAGAGGCTGGGATAACACATGGGATAGAAGAAGGGAAATATATATTCGCTCTATTCTTACATTCTTCCTTGAGCATAATTTGTGGTTACTCTTGGATTCCAGTTATCAATTGTGTGGATCCACTGCAGCTATTTTTGTTCCTGCATACCAATTTACTGAAGTGCTTACCCTCACCTCCACAGTTCCAAGTTTGCTGCATGAGTAGTTACCTTCCTTCTCTTTCCCTCCAGACACTTAGCATGGTAAGCAACAGAAAGGCACTGTCTTACACCACATTAAATTTGTGAAATCAATTAATTACCATCTGCCACCGGCTGAACACGATTTCAGGTAAGTGTTTTGGTTATTACCATTGCAGGCACAGATATTTGCTGCTGAGGATGCACCTCAAACGTTGCATATTTAAAGTGTATTTTTAATGTTTGTAAGAGATTGCATTATGCAGTAATTTAGCATTTCTAAATTGTAATTCCACTCTCAGCACTTCGATTACACTTTCAAAGCAGTTTCACTAGCACAGGGTAACAAAGCACTGGGATAAGCCACTCTGGGCTCTGTATTGGCAGGCATTAAGCTCTAGTACAGGCAGGAATTAATAAATTCAGCTTCCTTGCAGGCTGTGGGCAATACAGGCAGGTCACATTTCAGGGGTTGTTTTGTTTTGAACCACCCACTCTGTGCACTGGAAAGCCACCAGATCCCTCCAAACGGTAGAAATCCCATTTCCTCCCATACTTGGCAAACTGAAGAAGAAAAAGCAGGTGAGCCTTGACATAACCTTGATGTAGTTCAACAACTAAAGTGGTTAAAAACACGCTTCAGTTTGGGGCTGAGATACTTTGACAGTTGTGAGGGAATGATGGAGCGTGATGCCAAAGCTAACCCTGCCACTTTCTTTGTTACCCACCACAGGCTGAGCCCCATCCCTGCAAACCCACCCCCAGTCCCAGCCTTGCAGCACACGGAACGTGGCTCTTCCCATCTCAGCTCTGGGAAAAGGGAGACAGGATAGCACAACTTCAAGAATGTATTTTCCACGTGAAGCACAGAGCAGCCAAAACATGCACCTAGTTCCTCCTGTCTAAATCTGGATTAGAGGTTTTTTTGGGGGAGTTGGGTTTGGTTTCTTTGTAATTCAGTTATTGCACGTGCTCTTCTGGTGTTTGGCAATTAGTTCAGCTCTTCTTTTACAGAGCTATTCATCAGTCACGGAATTTCAAGTTAATTTACCCCCCAACTCTCCACGCAAGCTCTACCATGGCAATTGTAGCAAGCACAATCAAAAGGTCTCCCTTTGGTTGGAGTTTGTTACGTCATTTAACACAACAGCTCGCTTCAGATGAGATCTCTCCCTGGTTGCTTGGAAACAACATTCTTTTTAATTGTTTCTTAAGCATATCTAAGCATCCCTTCCATGGTAACACTGGATAAATCTGTTCTAGCTTTCTTACATGTTACCTATGAGTTTCCAATTTTTCAGCTCTAACAAATCCCATGTTGTCACACGTGGTGTTAATGATTACTTTCCACTCCCACTGAGCAGAGATCAATGTGATAGAAAACTAGCTTTGCTAAGGACTGGGATGAAAATCAGAAAATTACATTTTCTAGAACTGATTTTTCAGGTTTTTTGTTTGCTCTCTCTTGCTGTTCTGTTGGGTTTTTTAAAAAGAGAAGAAATTAATGATTATAATGCAAAATTAACTTGTCAGTCCTGGTTGTTTCAACTGTTCTAATGCAAATTATTTTGTTAAATAGAAGTATGCTGAATGCACTGAGTAGACCAAAAAAAACCTAAAACAGTGGTATTTTGGAGCTTGATTATTATTCTAATGTTTCTCCAACAAAAATTCACAGTCAGGGTTAGACAAACCAAACTAGCAGTGGTAATTCTTATTTTTAAGATGCAACATGTGGATTTGCTCTGACCAGGGTACATTTTAACTAGAAAGGGTATCATCTGGCAATTAATGTCACAACCTAATCATCTCTGTCACAACAGAGACACACTGGTCCTAGAAACAATGGAGACTTGCAAACAGAATTAGTCAGGAGATCTCCTTTCTAAAGCATCTCCTACACTACTTTCCTACAAAGCAAAAAAAAAAAAAAAAAAAAGAACAAACCCCACAAAAATCCCAAAGCTTTAAGTGGTTTTACTTTTCCTAGAGCCATAGAAATAAAGATGTTCTGCTTAACTGAGCCCAACAGTTGTTCTGGAAATGCTGTTTTGGACAGCACATGGATAGGGCAGAAGTTTCAGTCATGTGGAGCCAGAAATGAAAACTTTCTGCTTAAAAACGAAATGTACCATGAATATGTATGAAAATTGGCATGGCCAAGTGAAACAGTGCCACTGTTTCAGGGGTTCCACTTAAGCATTGAGTGTTAACAACTCTGAACTGCAATGTCTAGATACTTATCTACATTTAGAATTAGACCCGATAAAAAGGCTTAATGGGAGTCCTGGGCTTCAATCTCTGACTTAGGGACCAGGCAAATATTTTAAGCAGTAACACTGTTTACTGGAAAATAAAGAAACATTCTGGAACCTTCTGTGTCCTCCTCCTTTGGGTAATGGCCTCTGATTTTTCCTGCATAACCTCAACAGGCAACACAGGGCATGTTCACTCTGCAACAACCTACAGAGTAGTAACAACACTTTCCAAAAGGGAGGAGGGCTGGAGAAGGGAAGGAAGGGGAGCAACATCCTCCTTTCCATGGGTAAGTGCACTGATTTATAGCGTAGTTTGTAGATGGTGTATCAATATAACATAATCACTTCTTTTATCTTAAGACAAAAAGCTTTCCTGACAGACTATTACTAATATACAGCACAAACCAAGTCTGTTTTCTAGACTGGTTTATTCCATCATATAGTGAAGCCTATCTAGGTTTAAAAAAAAGGCAAATTAATTTGACAGCCTGTTTAGACCAGAGCAGTTCTGGACAAAGACTCAGAGCTGGGTGTAACTACAGAATCTGAGAGTCAAACTGGCACCTGCTGAATTGTGATACGTGGCTGGGGCTTTTAGGATCCAAGATGGATCACAGCTGGACACTTGCAGGACTGAGCTGGTAAAGAACCAACATTTTAGTAAATAAATAGGTCCATCACTGGATTTAGCCCTGGAATCACAGATTCACTTCAATCAGATGTTGCTAAAATGCAGCTGAAGTAATCGTTCCAAGTTTTTTTCTATTTAGATAACTTAAATTAGCAAACTTAAACCACCCTTATACGCCATAACACCACAAAGCCAGCTGAACGTTAGGAACAGTGAATTGACGTGCACCACAAAAGCTGAGGCACCATCTAAAATTACTCTGCCCTGTTCTTCCTACTGACACCACCAGTTTACTCACTTGTAGCCATGATACCTGGAGGACATGCTGGTATCCCGTGATCAACTGCCCATCTGTAAGCTCCTTCACCAACTAAAAAGCTAGGAGACACAGAAGAGGGAGTTTAAACAAAGCCATGTAACAAAAATCCCCCTTTCCTTGCAATTATTTTTTTCCTATTTGGTTTGGTCATCTTTAAATTGTGAGCTGTCTGTGTTGCATAGAACTGTCAGCTACCATTACACTCAGCAACCTTATGTATTTTCATTAAGACTACACAGCTCTGACATTGGGTTTATTATTGGATAAACACAAGTGCTATTAAATTTGAAATTATTTACCAAATAGCACCAGCTTTCAACTGCAGCTAAAACAGGACAAAGCCTGTCTAAGACTCTTGCTCTCTACAACAACTTAGCAAGATCCTGAAGGCCGAGACCTTGGGATGAATGAGGTGAAAAAGATATTTCCAGGAAAGTCAGCCAGTGCCACAGGGATATCAAGAAGTATTTCAGGAAGTACAACACAGACTAAAAATCAGGTTTATTTAGAAGGATTAAGGTCTATTTCATGGAGTTTTTATCAAGCATTTGCAAATGAAACTAGCCTGCTGAATTTTTAATATACTTGTAAAAAACCCCCAACCACCTGAGAAGTTTTTTTTTCTAACCACTACTGAACACTTTAGAATAGTGAGGCAGCACACACTGCTGTGACCATGAGTGAGAGCAAAACACAGACATGGAACTCTCAGGGAGAGGGGGGAATAAAAGCAAGCCTCAACTATCTGCGTTGTTTCCCCTTAAAGAAATTCATCCTATTGCCCGAAAAGGAGAATGTAGGAGCTGGAAACCAGACACTTCCAGAAAGATGCTGTGTAACAAACACAATAAAGGACAACCATTTCCAGTCTTATTTCAAAAGTGGGCTATGAAGTTAAGAATAACACAACTGACATGAGAAGTAAAGAGTGAGGACTTACAGTAAATAGAAAAGTTTACAGAAATACCAGGCTTCTGAACAGAATAGTCCCTGGGGCCACGTAGTTCTACAGTTTCTGAGACAATTATTCATACAGCAAATTTGCTGGCATTAACACTGTTAGAAGTTTTCCTGACAGTGCTATATCTGACACCTGCAGCTTTCAGTGTGTAGTATTTTGAGGTGGTACTTTCTATCTTTCTATGATTTAACCAATGCAAGAGGTGTGTCCAGTCCTTCCATACAAAAGTCTCAAAAAAAGGCTTATCCAGATGAGAATTTGAATTATTAAATGCATTTTTCTTACCACTGATAGTGCAGCTCCAGATAAGAATTATTCATGTTGCAAGATAATGTAGAATAAGTTACTGGGTACCTTGGGAGAACTCAAGTATCTCCTGTCAGGTAAACGAGTGCTCAAAAAACAACCTGGCACTTTCATTAACATAAGAGAGAAATGCAAACTGTAGCCAAACCTAATTAAGTAGACCTCTTCATTGACTGGAAGAGGGTTGTTTTGGTCTTTTGAATAAAACTTTTCTATCAACAATGCATTCTTGGGAAGTAAATAAGCACTTGCAGTTGAAAACAATTTACACAGAGAGGAAGGTTAAGTGGAGAAAGCATCAAGCTCAAACACGAGGAGTTTTATATGTGGTAACTTGAATAGCACAGGTCACTCAGAAACACTGTGTTTTACAAGTAGTCTCACAATTGCCTTTTTAATACTTAAGAACACAGAAAAACCACCAGTAATTATGAGAGTGCAAAAAAGCACCCGAGAATGTCTTTAAATAATTTAAGTGATACGGCTTTTACTTTGTTCACATTTCAGCCCTTAATTCCTAGGTTCCTTTCCTTCTTTAAGATGGGTACAAAGTATTTGCAGTTTTGCTCCCAAAGAACAGTTGGATTAGTTGGAGCAGAAAACTAACTGAGGCTCCACAACACCACAGAGATCACCCATCCTTTTTTTTTTTTTTCAACCATTAAGATGTCTTGAAAGGACAGGGTAATAATAGAAAAGTCAAAATAAACTGTTTACAAGACAAATAACATCAGGATCTCAGTGCTTTGTTGTCTATACATAAAAATAAATGCACAGACAAGCTTAATTTATTGGGGGCAAGGGAGAAGAGGGAATAAAGCACTATAAAAAGCAGTCAAAACCACCCTGAGCTTCAAAAGCCTTTAGGCTAATTCAAACTACCATTTTCCAAAGGGGGGGGGAAAAAACCCCAAAAACATAAACAAAGAATGAATGGGTTTGTTCTCTGCTACTCTAAGAGTTGGTTCTGCAAAAACAAGATACAAAGATCTTTCTTGCTAATGTATCAGAGTACTCTGCAGTTGTTACAGAACACACAGAGGATGAAAACATCCTCCCACCAAGGAGCCAGTGCTTGCACATGCCTTCCAGTTCCAGGCATGCTAGACCATATTTAATGGAAAATGCATGTAAAGGTCTCTAAAATGGTCTTTTCAGAGAATTTTCTCCAAGAAGTTGGTTTTCCTGGTGCTGTTTGATCCAAACACGACCATTTCGTAGGGGCTGCAGGGAGACAGGTCACACCCAGCTGAACAGCAGAAGGTTTGGTTCATTAAAGGTGGTCAAGGCAGTCCTGGATGTAACCAATTCACTTGGCAATGTTTTATTACAAAATGTAGCAAAATCACTCTGAAATCCTTGATACAAAGAAGAAATTGTTCTGGAGAAAGGACAGAGATAGGAGGGGGTGCAAGTCCTCACTCACTCCAGGCACTTCCTTGCCCTCGCACAGCCCTACAAGTTAAACCATTTCGGTATTCTGCACAAAATATTGTAAAATTGAAGCAATTACAAATCCTTGTATACTTAAATTAAAAAAAAAAAAAAAAGAAGAAATTCTTTCCCATATGGATTACTATTAATACTGAAAAAGGAATATGGGCATGGACTTGATGTCAGTAGTACCAAGGAGTTCTAAGAGAGGACACATTTAGGTGTGTTTGTGCTATCCTGCCAATCTTACAAATCTGCATTTAACAGCAAGCAGATGTAAATAAACCTTTTTGCCTTAGAAAGGTCAAGGTTTCAGTGTAAGGAATAGAAAATCTTCCAGCTTATTACTACAAAACATCTAATCCATTACTAAGTGACTGAAGATCACTTCCAAAGATTCCAAAGTTTGTAACTATTAAAACAGTGCTTCCTTTGGTAAAGTTATACAACAAACAGGAATATCTTACAGCAGAATATGTAAGATTTATGAGCATTTTCTGTTCCTGCATGAGAGAAAATCCAGCCAACGCTGAGCACAATAAAGTAAGGCAGAAAGATGTGAGGGCCTTAGAGGTCTCAAGAAATGCACTCATGCATTCAGGGATACTCCAAACTTTTCAAATTCTAATTTGGGTAGAGGAGTTCTGTGTCTCAAACAATACAACTAGAGATTGATCCAGAAGGACAGACTCTACAGAACAATTTACAGCAAACTGGATACATCACTTGAGACACTTGATCACTCCTTGCCATCTCCGAATAACTTGACTCACACTCACTAGAATTTCTTCTACTGAAAATCAGAAATACACCACTTTGAATTGGTTTTGAACTCACTATAAAAACAGGCCCTGAACAGGTAGAAGCAGGCCAAGCAAACTGACTTCATGAGTTCTTTTATAGAGAAAAACCTCCATAATCCCACTTTCACTAATCTCACAGCTCCTGAAGTTTTCTTGTGTGGTCACGTGCCAGAAATCATTCAGCCAGCTTAGATCATGCTACAGGAACAGTCTCTACCACAGGTTTCTTTAACAAACAGCATCTGGAGGACTCCCCAGTACATTATTTGCCAACGACAAAGAAGATGAAAATTGCACATCTTCCCAAATAAAAAAAATAAATAACAAAAAAAAATCCTGACACTTGCTAGGAATGCCAAAACACGGCTGCTCTCTTGTCATTTAACTGCATGTGTTCCCAGCCTGGGCAGGAATGTATTGCACTCCCAAAACAACGTGTGACACCAAGCCCTGTCAGAAAGGTGAGGCGTGAAATCATCCACAGCCACCTCCTTCAGGGACCACGAGCTGTGTCATCTGAATTTGGGATACCCCGTGTGTACAAAGCAAGTCCAAAGCACAACCTATGTAGGTGTAGGTGTTTTTTTCCAGTCAGGTACTTTTTAAAACTACAGCAGCATAAATGAGGTCATAAGGTCACAGTAAACATGCTAAAATGCCCAAGTGCTCTTCCTGACAGTAATTCTGGAATGCTGTGATGTTACAGGTAGAACAATCCCAAGTGCCTGTTCCTGTAGTGACTTCAGTACTAGTTCTGGGACACCAAAACACTCACCCAATTTGACACACTAATTTAATTCAGGTAAACCTCACTTTCTTCTGACAGCTAAAGAAATGAGTTAACAGCGATTGAAATTAAAGTTCCTATTCCTTACTAAACCTCTCTGCAGCTACTCTTTGCTTTCTCCGTTAAAGAACAGAGTTTCAGGTGCAAAATCTGTCTGTTAATGGTTTGGTTTCAGGCTGGCTGCTTTTGATCTGTGAACTTCTTCTGCAGCATAAGAGACCACTGAAATCGTGCTCTTCCTCACCACCCAGCTATGAACTACCTGGCTAATTTTACAGAGCAACACAAGTAAGGAAAGCAAAATTTGTGATTCTAAATATACATATTTTAAAATACCAAAATGCTAGTTTAATACTTCGGCAAATACTGACCATCAGTTAGAAAAAAAGGCAGCAAGTTCTGCCACAGGTGACAGACAACAACAGTGAATTAATATGAATGAATTATTCAACTTCTCTACCTGTCAATTTAAACTGCTAATGAGAATAAGGTGGTTTTAAGAGCAATCAGTTCTGACATTCCTTGGATTCTTCCCAAAATGATGCAATAATTATTTAAAGTTATTATGCATTTAATAGTTACCTCTTCCACCTAAGTATCACACTCATCTCAGTAAGAGAGTGCTTGTTTCCATTCTTGTTGTAAATACTATTAAACCTGCCTTTAAAATAAGAGGAAGTCACTAAACAATGCACATTTCCACACTATAGCTACAAAACAAAGCCACAAAGGCAGTAAAGTAGGACTATTTTTTATACTTGTTAAAAACGTTGTTCCTTTTTTTAAAGGTAGACAGAGGCAAAAGTGGTAGAATTTCCCTTTCACCTGGACGTATTTTGGGATTTTTCAAAATGCTACAGTAGCAAACGTAAGGATTGAGTATTACAACTGCAAATAATGATACAGACAGAAACTATCACAAAGTGATGTTGCCCTCTATTCCCAATACTTCCTTCTACCCACAACTTCACCGGGTGCCCAAGATGTTTCACGATCAGAGCACAGAGCTTATCTCCTTTTTAAAGGCTGGTATGTAAAACAGCACCAGCCATCCTGGGGGAAGATAAAACCTTCAAATATTGCATGCATGGAGACCAAAGACCAAAGAAAAGTCAAGCAGAACAAAGCAATTACCAAGGTGGAATTCTGCCAGCAGAGAGTTTTCCCTTCTGCCCTTCACACAACAATCTATTTGCAACCGAAACTGGATTCTTGATTCCTGAAAAGTTAGCAAAAAACGGGAACAAAACATTAAAATATTTTTCCACAGAGCACTGCAGTGTTCATTTTGGCAATGGAAGGCAGATTCTTTTCATTTCCAAGGGTTTGTCAAGCCATTAAGAGACACCTTATGTTACGTTTCAGTGTAGTACCTCCTTTCTCAGTTTTTCCCTCACGTCCTGTCAGCAGTGACAAAGCCTTCTAGTCAACACCTCCCCCACATTTATTTTAAAAAAAAAAGAAAGAATCATATTGAAATAGTAGGAGTGATCTCCCACCACAGAAATCTCAAGTTAAATCTACTGTATTCTAAAGGCTGAAGATGTTTTATGGGCATTAATTTCTCAAGATGGAAAGAGTTTGCATTTGGACCTATAAGGCCAGAACAGGGATTATAGGATTCAGGCTTAGCTTTCTCTCACTTCCTCATTTCCTCCTTCCCCATGGTTGGAAGGATACATTTTTTTTTAACAAACAGGCCTTGAAACACTTAATTTTACTATTTATTTTAGATTTATATCTACATGAGGAAGCTATTACCACAGTTTAGAACTATTCTAGGATAAAGAACAAAGCTTGAAAACTTGTCAGAAAAGCTATTCAAAAGTAACAGCTAAGACTGTTCATGTACTTACAGCAAAACCTCAGCAATCCCTATTTGGGACTGTATATCTATATTTGTTTTGTACTGAAAGCTAAAACTAGACAAAAAAAGAGAAACACACTAGTTCTCAGATTAAATAAGTCCCATATGCAAATAAATGATTGAATTATATACCAGTAACTTCTTTGAGAAGGCTGAGACAAACACAAAGCCTAATCTAAATGCCTGTAATATTTTTTAACAATCGAATTTTACTACGAAGTTATCATTCTACAAATTCATCTGAGCAAACTCAGCCCCCCTGTGAATACTGTGTGGTGTCACAGAAAAGTGCTCTGCACCAAAGGATTCTCAGTGAACTAATAAGACAACATATTACACAAAGCAAATTAACCCAAACCAGCATTTCAGGGAGCAGGAATGCCTCTCCACTTTCTAAAAGGCTAGGATTTATTTAAACAGGGTAGAATTTACAACCTGTCCCCTCCTCCAGAGTAGTAACAAAAAAAAGAACAAAATTGATCTTTGCACCTAAATCAGCAGTTAGCTTTGTGATACATAGTTAACATACCACTCAGGGCTCCAACTGCTCCAAAATTTAATGACTTTCCATCCATTATACTGGCATCGCATTCTATCTCACCCAGAAGGTTTAGGTTCGATCCCAATCCTGCATTTGTGAAAGGAGAATCCTAAAAATAAGAACAAATCATTGTAAGACAAGATCCATAACAGACCAGACAAATCAAAACCTCTCTATAATTGATCTGACAACGCTGATCTCGGTGCAGGGCATTTTCTTATTTCAGCAGTTTGATCTTTCACAACAAAAACAAGGGCAATTAGAACAGAGCATCTGAAATTACTACAATGGATACCTCTCACCCTCTAAAGGGTGTAATAACACAGTAATATAAAAACCAATCACCCAGCAATCTATGATCATTTCTATTCAAGCAAAAAGCGTTACAATCAATCAACATTATATTAATTAATTAATTCATCTAACAGTCACTGCACAGACCACAGTGTACCTTGGAGCCTCTCAAGGATGACACTGCTGCAAAACAGAACTGGACATGCATGTTTTTCTGAACATTCTAAGCTATGACTGCAGCTCTGCAAGCACAAGTGAAGAAATGACATCACTAACTAAGTCACTCTGTAAAATTTTTATTTGACCATCAGCATAAGGACAGTCACTACTGTGGTCATGGAACAACATTTAACAGCATCACAAACCTAACTCCTCTTTTTTATTAGCACCTTCTGTGGCTTTTAACAAACCCAAGGTTCTCAAACAATACAAGTTCCCTATGCTAGAATCACACCCCATTTTCACCCACCCGTTTCATCGGAGCATCCCCAGGACTTTAAAACCACAAAATTCCCAAGTAGCACATTTCAGGAGTCTCACTGGCAGCTGAATATAATCCCCCAGCTCAGTGTAATCCCCTCTTTCTGGATGCAAGCACAAAAGGGATACAGGGCAAAGAAAGCCAGCAGCCAAACAGTGCAATTTCAGAGACGCCGCAGCCTTTCAGTTTTCATATGTTAAAATTACAACCAGTGTACAGGATGTGACAAAGAGTTGTCCAGACCACATGTGAACAAGGCAGTGAAATGAGATGGTCATACTTCTCCAGTGCATGTAATAAAGGCTGAATCAGGAAACAAATCACTGGAAACAGCTCCAAGTTCTGTCTTAAGGGTTAAGGGAACTGGCTTGGTTTTGTACCTCCTGATTCGCAGTGAATTCAAAGAAACAAAAGAGAGAGGAGTGCAGAGAAATGAAAAATAAATCTGATGTCAGCTGGCTTCTGTTAACTTTCAAATGAACAAGAAGTGAGTAAATTCAAGATCTCTTTGGTAAGATGTTGATTCTAATTTACAGAGACATTTAAAGATCTCTTAGTGTTTGAGTCACCAAAATGCTACTTTCCTGTAGAATCATGAGTACATGATAGATGATTAATACATAATCATGAAACTCCTTTATTTTCTGCTTTTTCCTTCTGAAGCACAAGATTTTATCCCACTTTACCCCATCCTATTTTAATCCACAACATTTCTTCCAATTCACTGCGTATATTCATTCTGTTGTTCATTTTGACAGCTAAGCCTCACGGCAAATGAATAAATTTGAAAAGATTTTAGGATAATGAAACATTTGCAGTTAAGTGTGGCAGAAATAACTTTGCCTAAAAAGGGGAGGGGGAGAATATGTTTTAAAAAAAAAAGAAAAAAGATGGCCTAGAAAATGCAGAAAAGTCAGAGTAGCCACTGGCTTAACTGACTTGATTGCTCCCCAGGCTCAACAACTACGAAGAATATTAAGTTGGTGAAGTTTAGATAAAAAGGAGCAGAGAAGTGGTGGAAGGAATTGAAAATGAATGGTGAAAGGTACTTGGAGGATCCAGTAAAACCAGGAATGCTCAGGATGAACAGTGCTTGTCCAAGCTGCTGGCCCCTGGGTAACCAGAGTGCAAAGACCTGTGAGCTGGAGACAAACCTCTAACGTTCTGTTCCAAAGACATTCACTCAGGGTGTTGTACCCAGGAACGTCAGTAAGGGGAAGAGTTTTGTGCTCCACAGGTTTGTCACTGCCCCAAAGCAGAGAGAGCTGTTATTTTAGAGCAGATGCCATGGACAAATAACAGGAATAAGAAGGACCCATCAGAGGATAAGTCCTGGTAACACTGCCCAGAACCTGCTGCAGTCAAGACACAAAGCTCTCTACCAGCTGATAAAGGTAATAATCAAAAGAGAGTAGGGAAAAAAAATAGAGGATCTTGAATGGTACTAGTTCACTTCATGTCTCAAGATCGAGATGTGCTTCAGGTTTTGGCACAGCACCTTCACTGGCACAACACCAAGAAATACTTTACTCAGGGAATCTTGAGACAAAAAGGAATGCCAACTGTTTCTCCCTACAGATTATTTACCAGAATGCTACAGAAATTTTAATAAATAACAAGTCTACACCAAACTGCAGATGTCTCTTTGGTGGCATAATTCTCATATTAGGACTCAGAAGGAATCTTACCAGTGCAATCAGTAACAGCACATGTAACTTCTCCAGTAAAAAGAAACAAAACCAAATTCCAAGCACCTGTTCAAAATTTCTGTGGAGTTTCACTTAGCTTTACAGTCAGACTGCACTCAAGACAGTCTCAGAATTGCTCAGAGGAAGGTGGTGTCTAACTTCACACATCTGAAAGGCAATCTGAAAACAGCTTTAAAAGTGCAGGAACTGGGTGTGAACCCCTGGAATTTCTGATATCTACCTGAGTGTCTCTGAGGTGAGATAAAAGCCTTTGAAACGAGGTAGGAAAAAACCTTTAGAAAAATGGAAACAAGTTCACACCTACTTCTGTGAATAGGCAAGGACATGAAATACACCACGCAAATACAAGTTTCTTTTTGAAAATATGAATCTCTGCAAAGTCTGACCAAAAGATGTCAAAACTCTGATATACAAATAGAGGAATACAACTTATGAACTTATGAAAATTAAGGTGTATTTTGAAATGAAAATTCAAAACCTTCAAGGAGTACAGAAACATTAAAAGAGAAGCATGGATGCTTTCAAAGAGGGAAGAAACAACTGAGCTACCTGAAGAAGTCTCTCAGCAAGAACTGCCTCCCATAAAATGGGGAAGAACTAACCAAAGCATGTGTCCAAGAGGAGGGAGGATGGGAGAGGAGAAAAAGGTTTAATACAAAAGGTATCTTCAGGAATATACTTTTATTTCAAACCACAAGCAGTGATCAGCCTTTGTATTTCCGAGGAGGCTGAAAAAGTGGAGTTAGCAGCCCAAGCATCAGCTTCACATGTTAACAGCAAGCCCTGCTACCACAGAAAAGGAGGAAGAGAGAAAAGGCAAACAAGTAACTTATTCAAAGCGTTTTAACAAAACATAAGCCTTCAATTTATTTGAAAAATATTAAAATACCTAGCAATTATTCCCCCACGAAGCATCCCTAACTTGCCATGTAAAGCTGTAGCAAAGTAGGTAACAGGAGGCTTTAAGATGTGTAACAGGAGTTTCATTTTCCCAAGTTACTCATCTTGCAAAAACTCTCAAGCTACCGAGGGTATCGTTTTTAATTTTAGAATCCTTTTTACTTCAAGATGCATTTATAAATGTTCTGGCAGCAAACACAGGCATCCTGAAGTTTCCAGTTGCAGTCAAAGCTGGAATGTTCAAAGGAGTTACTCAACTCTAACACTTACATCTCAGCAAATAGTTAAAATGCTCTGTTTTCACTGGACTTTAAAGAACATTCCATCCATCTCTGATACAGTTTTGGCCCTGGTTTATTTGCAACTTTAAAAGCAAATTCAAAGTCTACAGGCATTTATTTCTGTACACTAGAACTTTAAAATTTATTTTTCTGTGGGAGTTCAGTGCCAACAATCAATATTCTACGTGGATGAGCCACGTCCCTTTCAATTAGGCCAGCTAAAATGTTTTTAAAGAAGACTTTTGTCACACATTACTGTCAGCCACTCTGCTGCAAAACATCATAGTATTGTTTTTAACCAGTATCAACAACTTCCAGTTGATTACCCATTAAAAGTTCATCTTTGGTGGCTGCATTAATGCAACAAGGCCGTTTCTTGAAAGAGAAGTCCTTGGGACTAAGATTGTATACTCAGAAATCTTAATCACAAGAAAAATAAGAAATAAAGCACCAAACAAGTTCTTTCGCTGCAAAATCTTGTTGATGGTCACACGAACCCACTGCTTGAATACAACAGGTACAGAATAACCTTTGCATTGATCCACAATAACAAAAAAAATGCAAAATAAACTGAGCAATTCCAGCAGCAAGAAACCCAAAACATGACACCCGTTTCCCCAGTGATTATATTAATTTCCAATTTAAATTATGTTCATAAAGAACATTCTGCTGAAGTCAGATAAAGGAACAAGTGACCTACACATACATTAATAAAGGATTACACTAAATTTAGGGAACAGTTTGAAATCTTCTTCATTCTTTACAACCAGTTCCTGTCTCCAGTACCTGGTCAGTACTTTGTGAAGTGTTCAATAGTCAAAGAAAAGCTTGAAATTGGACATTTTTCTCATAGCCACACGTACAGGTAAATCAGCACGTGGTTTTGCTGAAAACAGCACGTTTCAAGCAGGGGGTGTGTGGAGGGAGACAGAAAAGCTGCCCAAATAATCCCTTTGTGTTTCAAGAGGAGCTCAGACTTCATATGGTGGCCGACAGCAAGACTGCAAAAATCAATGGTACTGCAATAGTATCTTAGTAGAAGCACACAGTGTAAAAGATGAGTCTCAAGAAGTACCTTGTCCATTTTACTTGACCCATTTTACTGCCAGAAGCTGAAAGAGGTAAAATGTTCCACTGTTTCTTTGCAACGGCAAAGTTCACAAACTGGTAAACATTACCAGCCTTGAATCAACTTATCAGATGCAGCTGATGCTTACGAAGAACAGCCCAGTTATTTTAAGAGTATTATGGGTCAGTCTTGTTACTCTGCAAGAGGAATGCACCTTTTCTCTGGTTAACTATCAGCAATATCATCTCAATCACAGAAAACCCCTTCACTTGAGATTCACACAGTCCAACAGAGAAAGGCTGTTCCTTCTCCACTTGGAGCCTGAAAAAATAAAACAAAACACAGCACCACAAGCAAACTGTCAGCTTGCTCATAAAAGATCAAGAGCAAATCTTGAGCCCCAACGAGTCTTTGAAGTGATGCCTCTTGGATTAGCTGAGATTCTGTGTAATGGGGGTTGTGTAATTGAGCGGAACTGAGGAAAGAAATTCATCTTCTGTGAGACTTTCACACAAATACATTCGTGCCTTGCAAAGGCTACAAATTTTTGGAACGCAGCGTTCAAAGCCTGAGAGAACTGTGAGAGTGATTAAATATTTCAGATCAACTCACAGCAATGTGTTCCACAGAAACCAAAAGATCAAGAAGTTACAGGCAGTACTTTACCATGGAATCTGTTATCAGGTTATGCAAACTTTTGTTGTTCTGTATCTCAGTCTGTATTACAGGGACACAAGTAAACAAACACTGCTTCGTGCAGGTTTTCTCTTACGTATTTACCAACACAAAATGCTAAAGCACAAACAAAAGGGAGTGATAGCTCATCGACATAAACCTGTATTTTTACCAGTACAATTTTGTAGTTGATGAGGAAAACTATTCCGTGTGCTTTGTTGACTTGTTCTCCAGAGAGCAGCAGAAAAACCACCAGAACTAAACCAGAAGATGCAGCTCCAGATATGACAAGAGATGTCTGGAGGTGATGTTCAGAATGAGGTGAGTAGATACCAACCTTTACATATTTTGGAAGCTGCTCATTTAGAGGTTTCCCATACCAGATCCAAAAGACTGCCACTGCAAATCACAGTGTTTTGAGCATAAATTTGATTTTTCCTCGATGTAACTGCATAACTGCTTTAAATTAAAAGAAGCCCAAATCCCAAACTCAATATTCTCTATTCTAGTAACAGACAGAACAACCTCCAATTAAGAAGTTACATAAATCAATGAATAAATGAAAGCAAATAATTACATTGATGACAGCAATACAACCTGAACAAAATAACATTTAATCTTAAAAAGAAAAAAAAAATAGGGTATGTGCAACAGTACACATAACAATATTACCAAAGACAATTATAAAACCAGAAACAGGAGTGACGGCAGGCATCAGAACAATAGTAGCAAGACAGGTAAGAAGAAAAAGGTTTCTGATTGCAGTAATTTCATAAAAAGTTTTTAATTTCATCTTAAAGCTGTAACTTCTTCCACAGATGTCACTTCAGAGTATTTAAATCTACTAAAGTAAAAGAAAAGTCTCCTGGGGATAACAAAAACAGGTAAAACATTTACCCCAGGCACAGCTGCAAAGAGATACAGAACTGTTGGGTTAAGCTTCTTAAAATACATTTTCTTCTGTGTAGCTCAGGAACACGATAAAATCGCAACACAAAGCGGGCTTTTATTTTTGTTTTCCACCGAGGAGGGAGCTGACGCACAAAACAGCCTTGTGGAGCAACAGCAGCCTCAGTCAGCTTAGGGAAGTGCACTGGCAGTCATTCCACTGGAGGGATCCCTGTTTCCACTGGGTTATTTTCTCATGTGGAAGGTAAGACATGCAAGGCAGGTTTGAACAGCTCAGTGCAGCCCAGCAGTGGTGCTGGAAGCCAAGACCCTCCCAAGGGAGCGCTGTGACTGCAGCTCCGGCTCCCACTCGGCGTGTCCAGCACGTATTAAAGCGTGCACTCACTGCCTGCCTCACAGCAGCCCCACCAAGGACACTCATGAACACTTCCCCAGCACATGTGTAAGCAAATCCACTGCTAATCCTCTTGGAATACCACCAGGAATTCCAAACCCAGGAAATCGTTTTTACAGCGCAACGCTTACCTTGCCTTCCTCCCCTTTGCTAATAAAGTTGGAGGGGAAGAAGCAATTACTGCTTACAGAAGAGGAATACCTGTTTCCATCATTACTGTCCTGAGGGTTTAGTGGACCTGGGACAATAACCAAACTGCCCTATTTATATCCCAGAAATGTTTATCTTTACTCACTTCCACATTATTTCACTGGGACCTTCCTTCACTGCAGTCAGATGCCATAAAAACCTCACCACTCCAAAAAGACACTTGGCCAAAAACCTCCCAAACAGCTGCTCATCAAGACTTTCTATCTTAATTAACAAGTGCCATTTTGAAATAAAAGCATTCCTTGTCCTACTCCTCTGCACATATTTTGCCATTAAAATCAGAAGCAGTAGGATGATTTTTTTTCCCCCCTCTCTAAGAAGCAGAGCCAGAACTGTCCATCTGTAGCTCAGTAAGTCAGAAATAAAGTTCCCTACAAAGTGTTCAATAATTCTTTAATGACTGCATTTAGTCTTGAAGGGTAAAGACTACCTAAGACGACAACCAAATTGCACCAACCATACAACTTTAATTCAGTTTCCATTTTTAGAAATTATTTAAATACATTTACTTCAAAACACAGTGGAAAAGCAACAATATAAAATTAGTGCAGCACAAAAATGGAAATGTCAGTAAATTTCCCACTTAACACCTTCCTACAGAAAAACCTGGCAATGCACCCATGAGACTTATTTACTACTAGGCAGAAACTCATACCTCTAATTCTATAAGTGCTGCAGTCACTGCATCTGTGGCAAGAGCACCAGCCTGGAGCTTTTCAATTGCCTGTAAAACAGAATTTTCAGCTGATGATTAAGAAATTCTGATATTCTGTGACTGACCCCTTTTCCCAGTCTTTTACAAAACAAAATCTTCACCAAATTAGTTTAAAATGTAAGAGGGCATGAAAACAAGAGGCACTGGAAATAAGTCAGGATGAACCATGCGAGGGCAGATCTGAAAGCTGGATTTTAGTACCCTGACACTGAGACATTGCATTAAATAACAGATTCCTGCATGGTCAAATTTATATCAAAATCACTTTTTATATTATATACAAGTCCTCAAACACCTGATGCTTCAGTCAACAAGTTTCAAATTTTCTTTTCAAGGTTCAACAAAAATTTCTACTACCATTTATTGCAATTACAGTCAAACTGAACAGAATTTAAGAGCTCATCTAAAAGCCAAAACACACAAACAAATCAAAGAAGACAATGTTACCTTCAAATTACAGACACACACAGCAATGAACTCTTAGAACCTAATAGCATTTATTAGATCCATTTTGGACAAGACCTGACAGTCAAGTTCCCTCAGGGAACCCCAGGAAACAACCATGGCTTCATCTGCAGCTGCAAGACCTGCAACTGTTTGTTCTTCACAGGAGTTATTTATGTTGGCCACTCAGTTTAAGGAGCCACACACAATTTCAAATTACACTTAAATTCAACAGCATTTTCTCACATAATTAGCTGGAAAATGACTTTCACCAGGGCTAATGCACAACTTTAACGAAGCCAATGCTAAGTCTGGGTGATTTGTGAGGCTTCCCATTACAAAATGAGATTGGTATTAGGATTGAGCAACAGAACTGTAATACAAAGTGATAATTATCAGAGGCCAGTTCTGAGACTCCTCTAAAGAGTCTGCCAAGCTCCCAGCTCCTGCTCCCTGGAGAAAGCAAAAGACATTAAAAATTTTGGAGAGAGGTCTTCCAGCTACTCATTCAACACGTAGTACATGCAGGGCTTTGCCAGTTCCAAAGCTAAATTCTTGGAAGAGATTAAAAAATATTAGCTTCAATAGAAATGGAAGTCTTGTCATTTCTCCCTTTCCAGCTTTGATTTTTTTGTTTGTTTGTTTTGTTTTTCCCGTTTCTACCTCCTTTCCTATTAAGATGTCAAGAGCTATCAAGAAGAACGTAATTCTAAGAACTCCTGCATTTATGGAGCAACCTTGGATGCTGGAGTTGAAATGAATTCCCAGAAGAGTGGACATGGATGAAAACAAAACACAGACACCGTATTTAGCTCCAGAATTACCACAGGCTCAGGAATACTGCAGGAAGCTGTAGGACATACCTTCTGACAGGCCCTTTTGCACACATGCTTGTACTCTTTAGCTTTGGATTCGGAATGATAACCTGCACCTAAAATTAAAGGAAAAAGGTAAAAATGTTGTATTACCTGTCAAACTGCAGCCTTACAGTTCACAGAGAGATTTAAGACACAGGCAGGTACAGCCTTCCTTATTCTGGATTACACTGGCATTTCCCTTTTGTACCCATGATGGACAACTTTATGCATTCCAACACTGACTCCAGCACACCCAGTAAAATACAGGATATATCCAGAAACACACAGGTATAAACCTCAGCATCGAACAACCTCTTCCTATAAACACTTTGGGAGTTATACTTTCAGTATCACTCATTCTTGGACTATTTCCAGCATGGCTTTTTTATTTATTATTTTACTTAAAACCCTTGGTTTTACGTCAAACTCCAATTTTCCTTTCAGCACTGATGTGCAAGTCTGCAATTATCATTCTGCTCATCTTCTCATGTTCACGCTGCATTTTTTAGAGCTTGTTACCCCTGCTTTAGAACCAGGAGAGTTGCCTGAAATAGAGATCCTACAAATTTTTCATCTGATTTTCAGTCTTCATGTCTATCCCATTGCATCAAACCATCCTGCCCTATTTTGTAGCCACTGCCACTAATTCCATGCCTGAAAAACTTATCAACGCCCACTGTTTGACTAAATGCAGCATCAGAAAGACAACTGCCATGACTGGCACACTGAAATTCCACTTCTCTTTTACTGGTTTTTGAACTTAAAAATGTGCTTGCATTTATCTCAACCTCACTTTTCTCACTGTTAGAAATATTAGTTTTGAGAAACTCTAATAAATTAACACTACCAATAAATTGAACACTATAACATTACATAACTAACTACACTACACTAAATAACACTACAATATATTGAACACTTCTATCTGCTCTTAAAATAGAATACCAAGGTCATCAAATATCAACCCAGAATAAAATTCTTCAAAGTTTTGTTGTTTTTCCTTACCTTAATGATTTTATAAAGCAAGTAGCATGTTGGTTTTTCAAATATTTTAGGCATTACCTTGCTCAGTTTCACCTCATGTCATCACACATATGGTAAAAACAAATATACAGATACAAGCATCACTAATATTTGCAGGATTAATAGCATTAAAGAAAGAACCTATTAGAAAAGAAATTATGAGCAAGAAACACTAACACATCATTTTTGCATCAGATATGAGCAGAGGACACGTGGAAACAATAAACAGCAATTCATTTAAAGATGATAAAAAATTAAATAAAATCAAAAATTAGACTTGAAAGAAAAATTTCAAAAGGGTAAAAAAAAAGTCAACAGCCTAAAGAGGTTTCAGAGACTCTGAAGCAGATTGTCCTCAAGGACTAGTAGGACAGAAAACAAAAAATTTAATGAAACAGCTATGTTTGATTTTCTGTAGGGTAAAGAAACACACCGAAAGATCTCTTTCGCTTTGTAGGTTTCCCAAGCTTAGCAGACAACTGCAGAATTTGATGTTTTATAACCATTTAAATTCAGAGGTTTTCTTTGTCAAGGAGAAAAAAAAAATACCATGCAGAACACCCAAACAGCTACAGTTTGGTTAACAGTTTCCTATGCAACTTCCGAGTAGACTCGCACACAAAGTTAATGTCACTTCATGAACACATCAGTGGTCCAAAGACACCATAAAATTTGTGCTGACATGTGGTTTGATATCAAAGCATGCACTGTTTTCATTCCAGCTGCTCGGTTTCCACATCTTACCTGCGTGGACAAGCACAAATCCCACTCGTTTCCCTCTTTGGGTCTGCTTTGCTTCGGGCTCTTTGACCACCACTTTTACAGCCGTAACCTGAGATGATTTGGAAGGTAACACTTCTACTGAGCTTATCCCCTTCTCCATGGTCATACATTGGGATCACCATCTTCTACCAGCAAGGAGCACACTTCCATGCAAAAATAAACCCTGGAGGGGAATCATCCTAAAAACAAATCACACGGGGATGTTAGACACTGATTTCAAGAGGTGGGTTTCACACAAATAACCTCAGGAAAGAGCTTTTGGAGGAGAGGTTGGGAACACACATTGTGGCTCTTGAAAGAAGTTCTGCCTCTTCCCTAGCTAAAAGCATTAATGAAACTTCAAATAATCCAACTCCATGTTTTAAGCTCAAAGCAAACTTTTTGCTACAATATAACCTGAACCTAATGATCTTCCCAGACACTGGAAGGAATTGTTAATGTTAGTTTTGCTTTCCATGGTGTCCTTTCAATCAACAATACAACTTGTTTCTCCTCCCATCATGTCTAATTAGCACATGAGCAACCCTCTAAAATGCCATACCTTTTCCTTTCTTTTGCAGGGAATAGCTGTTTATTTTATATATTTATAATGAACTCCTTCTATACTTTTATAATTCCCCACTAATTTGCAGCAGGAAAAGAAACAGAGAAATTAACTTTTTTTTAGTGGCAAAGTCTTTCTAAAGCAAAGCCAAATAAGCCCAGAGCAGTGAAATAATGTTTGCCCAGGTAAGTAGAGCCACCATGATTACTAGTGAACTACAACATGCTTAAGTCAAGCTCAGATAATTTATTAACTGTATTTGGGTTTGATCTTCACCCTTAAGATGTGTACAGAAGGTAATGTTTATAGAAAGCTACTTGAAACATTGTCAGCATTTCCCAGTACATCAAACAAGGAAGTTCAAATGCAGAGTGATGTATTTATCATAAATACCAAACAAACTCGCTGTATTTACTGCTCCTCTGACCCACAGGCTAACACACGTTAATCCTGACACAAAACCATTTGTCTAGTTCTGCAGGTAAAAAAAAAAAAAAAAAATCAGGGATATTCTACGTGTTGAATTAATTCAGGGAGTGAAAATACATGCAGTGTTAATGCATGAGTGGAGAAAACCTCTAAAACATACTGAAATACATTATATATTAAGAATTGGATGAACTTTAGGGTCCCTCCCAAGCCAAACAATTCTATGGCTCCATAACTTTGTACTCCATGATGATGTGCATCACTGCCACCACCTCGAAAAGGGCTTCGTAACCCAAGAACACTGGAAAGTGAACAGGAGTGGAAAAAATGAGATGTCTGAATGCATAAGACTTAAACCACTGACTTTGCAAATGCTCTACAGCTTCCTCCAGTAATTAAACACCACCCCATCGAAAGAACCAAAACTATGCAAACAATGTCTAGCACTGGCACGGAACAAACAGGCTGGTTTACCACAACTATCCTTTTGATAACAAGAATGAGCACAGCTTTGGAGGAAGTTATTTATTTACCCTCATTTCTTCTTAAATGCTAAACACACACAGGTATCTTCATACATTTATAAATTTACATTTCTTAGTCAGATATGAAGTTATTGTTACAATTATATATGAACTGATACAAAATTGAAGACTACCATTAAAGGCTTTACAGAAAGAAAAAAGCATTTATGGACTACATCCAGTTGTAATGTTCTCCTGAACAAACCTCAGTGCTAAAATGAAAGTACTAAGCACTGTATTTACTTCCTTTTTGCTAATAATAGTGAAGAAAGCTCCAGCAACCATTGCTACAGGCAGTAAGTCTGTTTCCTACAAACTTCTCCCTGGCACAGACTCCAGTAAAGTGACAGGAACAAGTAAGGAATTCATACTGTAGTAAAAATGGGGGAAATAATTTGGTGGTAAGGAAAGTAATGATGATGGGTTTGAAAACAAAGATGGAGATGTGTCTTAAAGACTTACTAACAGCAGAACTGCAGGCTGAAAGCCCTAATTAGACACTGACTTTAGGAGATTAATTTCACACAAGTAACATCAGAAAGAACTCCTGGGAGAGAGGTTTGAGCTTTTGCATACATGAGTCTGATGATGGGTCTGTTTTTACCAGACAACATATACCAACCTATCTCAACAAGTCCCTTCAGCTCATAACACTTCCTGCACGTCACCTCAACTACTTCCATCCCAAAATATTCTTCGTGCCCACTTACATTACATTCAAAAAACTGCTGCTTCCACTTTGTAAGATCACATTGGACTCATCCTTTCCCTTTCCAGCTCCTTCTGGACCCATCCTTTCCCTTTCAAGCTGCTTCTAGGATTTATCGGTGCTCCCTCCTGGCTGTCATACTTTCACAGTTTCCCCACTCCGTTCTACACAGGTCACCGCTCAGCACCTGCCCAGCTACCGGGGCGCTGGCGGAACACACCGAAGGACGCGAACCAAGGAGATTTTACCAAAGCACCCCCAAGCCCCTTGCGGCGCTGCCGAGGTAACTCTGGATCCCGAACGCGAGCCCCCGCGGGTGTCCCCCGGCGGGAGGAGCTCCGGGCCGGGCACATCCCGCGTGTCCCGGACCGTGACGTCACGCGCGGGCAGCCCCCGCCGCCCCCGGAGCGCGGACCGCACGAGCACGAGCACGAGCACGAGCACGAGCGCGCGGGGGAGGCCCCGGCGGGGCAGGCGGGAGCGGCGGGGCGGGCCGGGGCGGCCCCGCGTCCCTGCGGCCCTGCGCTCCTTCCTTCCCTCCCCTCCTCACTCGCTCTCTCACCCTGCGCCGCCGCCATCCGTGCGCTGGTTGCCCCGGTGAGCATGAGGCGGCCCGCCCACGCCCCGCCACCATTGGGCGAGCCGCGCCCGGCGGCCGGAAAGGGCGGCCCCGCTGATCGGCGGCCCGGGGGGCGAATGGCGCGGCCAGGGCGGGGCCCGGCAGCGCGGGGATGGCGCCGCCACCGGGACCGCCCTCGCTCCGTCAGCAGCGGCAGCGCCGGGATCAATCTCCGGACAAACCAACCCGGTCCCACGCGGGTGTTTCGTGCCTCAGGGAGGTGGAAAGCGGCCTCGGGTTTTGTTTCCGTGCGCCCCAAAACAATATATATATACCCATATCCGTATATGTAATATCAATATCCTTATACGTCAATATCCATATATGTAATATCAGTATCCATATACGTCAATATCCGTGTACATCAACATCCATATATGTAATCTTAACATCCATATATATCATACCAATACACATATATATCAATATCCATATATATCACACCAATATCCATATATATCCCTATCCATATATATCAATATCCATATATGTAATATCAATATCCATATAAGTATCCATATATATCCATATCCATACATATATCCATATCCATATATATCAATATCCATACATATCACACCAATATCCATATATATCCATATCCATATATATCATATCAATATATATCTCAAAGTATACATATATATATGCAATGTACATATAGATAATATATAATTTACATATGTCATATTAATGCACATGTATATAATAACAGTATGCATATATATATCATATGTATCATGCAACATAAATATGCAATATATATCATAACATACATATATAATACAATATGTAATATATAAATATATAAATATGCAATATACATATATACCATATCATTATACATACATATCATATCAATGTGCAATATACATATACACCTATCTCCTATTGTATACATGCATATGACTTCTGGTAGCTGCTCAAAACTAAACTTACTAATTGTAAATAAATATATTTCATAGTAGACCTGTCAGAAAATTCTCGCAACTATCAGGTATTTTACATCTTCCTGCTTCAATGGGCATTTGAGTATTGTGTGCTGCTAGAGAAATCCTAAATTCCTATTGATTTATGACAATTTGCTGTAAAGGAGACTCAACATGATTTCCTAAGGCTGCCTTCCTAGGATAAAGGGCAAATGTATCTGAACCCCATTTCTCTGATACCTTCTCAGATGATCATTACCATCAGTCCTGGGAACCAGTGAAACGCTTCGTTATCCCATCACACACTGACCACAGCTCCCAAAGTGCCTTCACACCTCCGGCTCCTGCTCCTCTTCCTTGTAGGAGTGTGAAATGAGTCCAAATGTCCTTAGGGATTTACTTATATTGTAGAGTACATTTATCTTAACTGACACCTCAAATTTTCATTTGCAAAGCTCAGCCTTTTAGAGTTGAAAGTCTAAAACTTTTATAAGATCAAGACAAGGTTGCTCTCTTCTTGCAGAATTCACTAAAGAGATTTCCTTGATCTCTTGCTAAAGCTCCAGCGTGAGAAGTGATAGGATATAATTTATATAAAATATTATCCCGACCCCTCTAGACGAAACTGATTTCAACTCCTCCCCATTTTTGTTTCCCTAGAAGTGAGCCCAGCATGTAGTTGTTACATTAGTTCCTGCAACAGTGGACAGTTATCAAATCATTCTCTGCAAACAAGCTGTCAGGAAATCACCTGCTTCAGCCAAACTACATCTTTGAAGGGAATTTTTGCAAATTAAATTTCTGTGCTACTTCTCTGACAACAATTTCATTCACTACTTATAAAAACTATGCTTTCAATAAATAATTTTAATAATTATAAATGATAAATAACAAATGTATCTTGCAGTATACTGCTCCATTTGCCCGTCAGGTGTTCGTTCCTCAGTCAGAGAAAAGTGCCGCCTCTTCATCCAAGTCTTTGCCGTTCCCTCCCCTCTGGAGCACGTCCCGGAGCAGGCAGCGGCGCCGCAGGTGCCTCAGGTAGCTCATGATGGACACGGGGCTTTCCCTCTGCCGGCCGATCCCCTCGTCGCTGAGGGGGGAGCCTTCGGCCAGGCAGCAGGTCCTTGGCCACGCCGAGGGTGTCCGGCCCTTCTCCTGGGAGACACAGGGCAGGGAGCACGATGGAAGGGGCAGAGGGGCCTCGGGGCTGAGACCCCTCCGGCTGGGCTTGGGCTCTCCTGGGGCCTGGCTGGGCAGGGTGCCTGGAGCAGGTCTCATGCAGGCTCTGTCCTGGGGCCCTCGTGGCTCAGCCCATCCTCGGTTCCTCCTGGGAGGAAGGAGGCTGAGCCCAGCTCTGCCTCTGGCCTTGGGTGCAGGGCTGGGGCAGAGGGCCCTCGGTGCCTGCCCAGGCTTTGCTCTCCACAGGGGCTGTCAGTCCTCACCCTACACATTGCAGCCCCAGGCCGTGGTGTGTCCTGGCCCCATCCCTCACCTCCCTCCGTGGCCTCTTGGCTTTCCTCCAGAGGCGGCATCCGAGCCAAAGCGCAGCCACCAGCAGGGACAGGGCCGAGCAGCTGCAGCCGAGCAGCAGCAGGGGCCACAGGCCGGCACTGCCCGTGCCAGCGCCAGCTCCCGGCTGCTGCAGGGCCTGGGCAGGCACATCCACCCGGGCAGAGACCCTGATGGGACGGCTGCCGGCCCTGGGGGAGCCGGGGAGGGGCGATGCTGCCCAGAGCCCCTGGAGCAGGGAGAGCCCCAGCAGCAGGGAGAGCCCTGTGCGGAGCATTGCAGTGCTGCCTGAGGAGCTGCGATCCCCCACCGGCACCCACAGGGTCTGTGCAGTGGGAGTGTGGTGGCCTCAGTTGTTGTTCCTCACACACTGTGATGTCATAAGTCCATTGCCTGGCAGCCAGAGGGTTGGGAAATGGAATGTGAGGGTGGCATGAGAGGGTGGTGGCATCAGAGAGAGCACAGAGGTGACACCAAATGTGCTGTGATGTCTCAGGGCCAGCAGCCAGTGGGCTGGGAAGTTCACGGCAAGGCCAGAAGGTCTGAGCACGTGGCTGTCTCAGCTGCTGTGTCTCACCCTGTCATTGCTTTTGAAAAAGAACACAGAGATGTCACTTAAACACTAACTATGACCATAACTCCACACTGATAATCCTAATTAGGCCTTTGTATACACTTGGGTCTCAGGATGTATTTATTTTTACCAGAGAACATATAGTCAACCTATCTCAATAACTTCATAACACTTCCTGTACATCAACTCAATTTTGTCAAACCACTTCCATCTCAAAATATTCATGTCCATTTACATTTCATTCAAAAAACTGCTGCTTCCACTTTGTAAGATCACATTGGACCTATCCTTTCCCTTTCAAGCTTCTTCTAGGATTTATCAGTTCTCCTTCTTGCCTGTCATACTTTCTTCACTCTGGATTTTGTCCCTCCTTGTTACAAAGGTCACTGTTCTACATGTGTTCAGCTACAGAGACAGAGGAGGAATACACACTAGTCTGCCTCCTGAAGAACACGACCCAAAATTATTTAAGAACAGGGGGGTGCTGGTGGGTGAGAGGCTGGACGTGAGCTGGCAATGTGCACTTGCAGCCCAGAAACCAGCTGTGTCCTGGGCTGCATTCAAAGCAGTGTGGGCAGCAGGGGAGGATTCTTCCCTTCTGCTCTACTTTGGTGAGACCTCATCTGCAGGGCTGCCTCCAAGAACATGGATCTATTGGAGTGAGTCCAGAGGAGGTCACCAAGTTGATTAGAAGGATGGAGCATCTCTGCTATGGTGAAAGTCTGAGTGAATTGCGATTGTTGAGCTTGGAAAAGAGAAGGCTTTGGGGTGACTTAATGAGGCCCTGGCACAGGTTCCCCAGAGCAGCTGTGAATGTCCCAGCCCTGGAAGTGTTCAAGGCCAGGCTGGATGGGGCTCTGAGCAACCTGGTCTAGTGGAAGGTGGGGGGGGGGGTTGGTGATTTTACCAGATAAGCCCAAAGCACTTACTGAACTGAAAAAGAAAAACAAACAGAAAACCAAAAATCAAAAACCTTTGACTATCCTCCCAGTGCTCAGAGAGAAACAAAGACGAGGCTGCTCAGCCGCTCGCTCGCAGCTCCCACAGGGCCGAGCCGGGCACGGAGCGGCCTCAGAGCGAAGGGAGCGCAGGGGCGGGCAGAGCCGACGCTCCCGTGTCTGTGTCTCAGCACCAGCGACACGGGGACAGTTTGTTTTTAAGCGGTTTCGGGTTTGGCAGCGAGGCCGGAGCCAGGCGGGCCCCGGGGCGCTCCCGCTGCCCGGCCTGTGATGCCGCCGCCTCATGGCGCCGCCGCCTCATGGCGCCGCCGCCTCATGGCGCCGCCGCCTCATGGCGCCGCCGCCTCATGGCGCCGCCGCCTCATGGCGCCGCCGCCTCATGGCGCCGCCGCCTCATGGCGCCGCCGCCCTCACGGCCCTCACGGGTCTTCCTTACCCTGACAGCGCTGTCGTTCACCGCCCAAAATACATTTCACAGTTAGTAATATCTGCTAACGAATTTGCTTACACTTCTTGCTGCCACCACCGCCTAAGGCAAGCACCTTTTGCCCTCGTGTTTGCGGTGAACACACTTCAGCCTGCGGCCACCGTTTTGTGCACAGGTTGTACTGTATATTATTAACAGGGACTTGAGCACTGGCCTGGCAAGAAACGAACAAAAAAACCCATGTAATGCTTTGGGTTGGAAAGGACCTTAAAGACTATCCAATTCCACCACCTCCCCCCCCACCCCCCCCTTCCCCGGCTGCTGTGGACAGGGACACCTGGAAACTAACCTTTTCACCCCTAAATTTTACTCTATTTCCACCACATCCAAATCTTCCTACATAGGATCTTCCCCAGGAATTTAGAAGCCTCCTTCCTGGCCTGCCTTCTAATCACAGAAACTCCTTCTATGTTTTTTTTTCCCCCCAATAAAAATGTGCTTCCATTAACTTTTGCATTATTGACTTATTTTGTTTTTCTTTCTTTTTTCCAAAAAGGCAGCCTCACACTTATTTTTGCGATGCAAAAAATTGTCAGGAGCAAATGCAAGTCTTTTTCAACACAAATTTTTGGCATACAAAACCATGTGGCTTGCGGAGAGTGGCTTTTGTCTTCCACATTACCAGGTGCTTCCTTTTCTGTTGGATAAAACTACAAGGAAATCATGTGAAGTCCACAAACCCTTAGAAAATCTTTGGCCTCCTTTCACAGATTTTAACGTGAGGTCCAAATCCCAGTTGCGAGTTCCTCTGTTGCCAACTTTTTTTTCTTTAAAATCCTTATTATTCTTCACAGTGATACTGGAATGAACCAACAAACGTTCCACAAAGTACTTTTTTTTTTTTTTTTTTTGCCTCTCATATGGCAGTTGATAGATTTGAGCTAGGACGGTCTGATTTTGGGGAGGGAAGGGTGGGTGTTGTGGAAATGTTGCAACGCATTTGCCTTCTGGCTTCAGCCTTTCTTTGACAACATTGGCCACTACCCAAGCAGCTTTGATGTGACCTTGTGTACTCATCTCTCTGTCCTGTGTAAGGTCCTATGCACCTTCCACTCCCAATTTTCCCTTTCACTGTCCAGCTCTCCATCTGTCAGCTAAGAGGCAGCACAGCATGTGGCTGACTCTCAGCTACACATATTTTCACTTGACCTCCTTGTCAAACCTCCTTGAAGTTGGCAGCAGGTTCAAATTATGAAGATAGGGCTGTCAGGTTGATGGATGGACAGCCTGACCACAGAGCTCTTCTTGCTTTAGAGGGGGAAACAAAAACCTTATCAATGTTTGGTCCAGTGCTGTTCTCCAGGAGAATTGCATTTCAAATCCAAATTTCTGTTTTCACTTGTTTTTTGATTGCCTTTACTTAACTTGTCCCTTGCTGCCGGTGACAGTTTCCAAACTGGCCAAACATTTATTGTTTTTTTCCTATCTTCTGGTCCTTGCTCTTCTCTAGATTTGTGGTGCTAATCCAATAAAAATGTGATCTCATTCTGTAAATCATTCCTCAGTGTACAGGTTTGACGTGAAAGGCTTTCTTTATTCCTTTTACAAAGATTCCAGCTGTGTTTTAATGCCTGGTTTTGTTTTTGTTCTATTTCTTGTTGATTATCTTAGATTTCTTTGAAGCAGACTCTACTGGTTTTACTTCCTAATTTGATAAGAAGTTTATCTGCTGCTCTAATTTATTTTGGATAAAAGTGGCTGTTGAAGTCCAGAGACCTCAGTGAGGCTTTACAAAAGATGTTCCAGGCAAGAAATAGCTGAACATTTGGTTTGGGAGTTTTCAGTGCTTTTGGACACCTGCTAAAGGACAGAGATGTTGGGAAAAGGCAGCAGAGAGAAGACTCACATCCCTTTCCTATCCCTTTTAACCAACATGAGAGGACACCCTTAAACAATCAGTTCAAGACAACTTTAATGTTTTAATGAAGAATTTGTCTGGGAAGTGGCCAAGTGGAAAAGGAAAAAGAAAAGGCAAGCGCATAGAAATACAGTACTATATCAATCATTGCAGTTTAATTTAGGAACTTTCAGCTCACTTCTTCAGTCAACAGAAAAAGGAGCTGAATGAACCAATAAATACAAACAAGAACTGTTATCTGAAGGATTGCATGTAAAAAGAGAATAGCAACTGAAGGCTGGAATCAATCCACTCAAATACCACATCATTAATCCCCCTGAAAGACTGGCTGATCTTTGCAGGTAGCATAAATAAGCCTGCAACTCTCCTCCAGGAATGCTTGTTGTTTCCTCTGCATATGAAGAGGCCCCTCCTTTGACTTCCAGCCAGCTCTTACTTTTGTGAATTTTACTTAATGCCTTTTCCAGATAATGAGCCGCTTCACATGAGGAAAATACTCCGGCATCCTGGACCTGTCTGTGTAGCATTGCAGGCACTCCCCGGCTGCTCAACACCCACACACACGGTTGTTTCCAGCGCTCCGTTCCACGGCATCCCGAACAGCTCCGCCTCGGTGTGATTGCGATCTGCCGGCCAGCTGTCGGGGTTCTGACTGCACGGGGGCCAGATCATGAGACACGGGACTTTTGAGAAATGGAACTTCAAATATGCACTCATCAGCTGCTGCCAAAATAACCGCTGGTAGCAAAATCCCTGCGAGGTTTTGTCTTCGTTCCTTAAGAGAGTTCTGTGAGTGCTGGGTACGCAGCGGCCACTGCAGCAGGACGGGCTTCTCCCATCAACTGCTACAGCAAATCAGGGAGCCAGGACTCGCACCAAAGTGATTATCAGAGATCATTCCTCTTCATGCCTGCCCAAAGCGTGGTGCAGGTTTAAAGCTGACAATTTAAAAGTGCATATTTTGGCCAAACAGGCCAAGTTGGTGACTAAGTAACTCCTGAACTGGGTTTTCTACAGGGGTTTGATCACCTCATTATTTTTATGGGGTTTGACCTGCGTGGCTGCTTTCTGCAGCTCTCCGTGGGTGATGATTTAGTCCAGCTCGGAGTTGTTTTACTGCACTCAAGGTATGATACAATTTCAGTAGGGCAGTTTTCACAACATCCTCCTCTTCAAATTCTGTGATACTGATCCAATTGCAACAGAGAGACTCCAGGATTCATAAGTTGACTGTGAAGCTTAAAGAAAAATTGGCAGAATTATTTCGCTTACTGGGGAAGTTCTGATCTTCAAGATGTGAAATAAGGGGAAAAAAATTCCACTGTCATCGCTCATGAGCTCTGTCAGCAAATTCACATTTTGGTGAGGTTGAGATCAGTACAAAAATCAATGCAGGTTTATTTTAGGACAAAATTTGCACTTTTAAACTACATCTCTTAATACACGACTAAGTTCATTATTGTTAACCTTTTCCTGCATTTTGAACCTTTTGTCTTTCTAAACATTTAACTCACAGCAAAATCATCTTTCACATGTACCGTGCTTCATTTCCTCTCTGACATGGTTTTGGTTCCTGGGCACTTTTATTTAATTTCCTCATACAAAGCTCTCAAATTCACCCAATGAGAAATATGCAAAAAAAATGGCATAAATTCTGCTTGGTTCAAGAATTATGGACCTTCTTTCCCTTCTCCACCTGTAAGGACACCCTTCAGATCAACTCTTGGCCAACCTCCATCTTTCACTTGGTGCCATTGGAAATCCCTACAAATTCTGCTTCAGTTGTCCTTTCCCTCCTTCCTTGTCCCAGAAACATGAAAAGGGAAAGAAAGGTCCAAGTGCACCAGGCAGGATTTCAGGGCAAAGCCAAGGGATTTGTGCAGTGCCAAGATCAGGGGATGCAGTCCAGGAGCATCTGCCCACAAAAATGTGGCAACCAGCCTTTGGATTGGGTGTCTCTGAGGATGGGACACCAGTGATGAGGGGGATAGAAAGTAATAATGACTTTAAATGACATTAATCAAGAGTGGATGCAGAACGCAAAAATACTCCCATTTATCATATTTTATCTTAAGGACAGAAAAAATACGCAATACACCTTTCTGCCACCTTGCCTTGCTTTTCACAGGGATGCAGTAACATAGTCCTCTGCATGAAAAGGCCCATTTTTCACTTTTAGAAAGTTGCAGTTTTTAAAGCATTCCAGGAAATGATGAAAATTGCTGTGCCATCAGAAGTACCAGTGTTGTTGTTCTTACCACAGCTACAAAACTGAGACTGAGGCATTAACTCCTGATTTAAGACAAGTGCAAAACAACCTAATTAATACTTTTAAATATATATCATATATAACATAGGTTGCTAATTTTATTTAAAAAAAAAAAAAAAAACCAAAAACCCACAGTATTTTGGTTGGTTGGTTGGTTTGCTAAAAAAGTACGTGATGGCACAACTTACTGTTATTTTTGGACCCCACCAAAATATGAAAAGGACAAAGAGCCAACCTGCTATTAATTGGAAGTAATACATTTAATTTTGAGAAGGAATAATTGAAAACATACGTGGCTCTTCATCTCTGGTTGTCTGATCTTTCTTGGTTTTTAAATAAACACTCCTGTGATTTCCACTTGTAATATTAGAGCTTTAAATGCCTGGCTTAGACTAAAGCATGAGCTCTGCTGGCTGCCAACTTGGAGACAAACTACTTTATACCAGACCTCCCCAAGTTGCTAGAAAAATTAGTTCTGTCCCACTTTTAGGAGTCTCGGTTTTTAATGTGTTACTTCACTGCCATCACTTTTGCTGGTTGCATGACATTTAGTGAGAGGGAAGAACAAAATCATATATGAAGTTCAGAAGCTTGAACTTCTAGACCCTATTTTCGTGTTTAAAAGGATGAGATGGTCAAAACCATAATTTGTTCATAATTAAAACATAATTTTAATTCCAGAGGGGCAGAGATCCACCAATGCCACACACTGATTTCCAGGGAAGTTATAAATCACTGAGCCAAAAAGAAAAGCACTGATAACACAGAAGTGTTTGCTAGAATTCAGCAGGGTTAAAGGATTAAGGAGTCAGTGCAGTTTGTTGCTTTCATCCCCCACGAAACAAAATTATGGGAGACCATCTGTGGAGCCAGTATTAAACCAAAATTAATCTGAAGATGTTCAAATGTTTACGAAGAGCAGTTTCATTTACAACAGCTGAGGTCTGCAAATATCCCTCAGGTACATCACTGCAAAGCACTCTTATAAAATCCATCTCCACCCGTATTTCCATATTGTCTTCCTTAATTCCATCAGCCATTTTGGGCACTACACAGCCCCTCATGTGCTAAATCCAACTCTGTAATATCCTTTACATACTGAGATAAATTTACTTGCTATAAACACAAGTTTTCACTACCTATAATTTTAACCTCTGTTTTAAGTACAAATCTGTAGAACATTTTGGAAATTAGCAACACTGCTTTCAAACTGCAAGTTACCTTTCAGCTCCTTTCTCAAGCTTCCAGTCATTTTTTGATGCAGTATCAACCCAAACCTTAAGACAAATCAATGGCCCCGTTCCAGGGAAGAGCAATCATTTCCTACCTGCTGTATTATCCCTGCTCCACTGGCACCTTCATCACCAATAAACAATATTGTTTCTAAAATTCTATCATCCAGATCTGCCTTGGATTTTTTTAACACATGCAGTGCTGAAAGTCTTTCTCTGTGTGTAACCATAAAGTTTGATTCTGGCATAATTCGATTGAGGCGCAGAAGAAGAACAAACAGCGAATGCCCAAAATTCCTCTGGGCCAATTTAAACCATTTATTTCCAATGTATGTTAATCAAACACTCCTAAATGGCAGTATTTCCAGTAATTAGTTCTATTACCCAGGAAGTCTTTAAGGGAGAAATTAAAAAAGCATATATATATATATATATATGATCTTTTAAAAATATACAAAAAACTTGTATACAAGATTTCTTCAATTTGTAGTCATATTACTTCCTTCTTTCTCAAGACAGGTATTTTTTACAGGTTTCTGTGGAATTAAAAAACTTTAAGATCACTCAGTCTCAGCAATAAACCTCTGCAGAAGTGTTTTTTTATTATTCAGGACTACTTTTTGTAGCCATCTTCAGCACTTGGATTATTTTTAAGAGATGACATGACACAAAACTAACTGCCCCCAAACCTCTATGTTCTCACGGTGTAGTTCTTCAACAGTAGTACAAAACAGTAATTGTTGTGGCAGAGGAACTGAGTGATTATTACTCTTAATTACTTTAAAACTCATCATCATAATGAAGTGACTGTTGGGGCAGTTTTGGGTGGACAGGAATCAGAGCAGGCCACAGATGTCATCAGTTAGAAAAGCTGAGACTAAAGTGAAGTCCAAGTAAAACCAAAGTTCAATTATTTGAATTTCTGCTTTTTCCTTGCCTGAAACTCTTCAGTTTTATTTTTGACAGACTTTATGAGCATGGACAGGGCAGGATCTATGGCTTTCTTAGTGACCTCTCCTTTCTTGGCCATCTTGTTCTCCTGGCCCTTGTTTGCCTCCTTAAGATCCTGCTCCTTCTCTTCCCTTCGGCGAGCTTTCTCTTCCAGGATCTTTTCTACCGCCTTTGTCTTCTTGAAGTTTGGATCTGAAGGATCCAAGTTAAACAGGGGAGATGTAAACATGGCTTGGAATCTCGTGTCAGCAACATTCACCTGAGGGCAGAAAGGGAGCATTTATTTTAGGTGACCTTTTCCCGTGACAGCAAAGCTTTTCGACCCAATAAAATATGAGCTGTTGAAGAAGTCACAGCTCATGAGACTGGAGCAGCTCCAGGGATGACAAACAGTCACAAAATCAAGAGTTTACCTGGAAGTCATCTTCTAGTAGTTCTTTCCTTTTCATAAGGAGTTTCTTTTTCTTCTTGCTCAAGTTCTGTTGTTCTACAATCTTTTTATAATTGAAGTGTTTTCTGGTGTCATCCTCATCATCCATCATCAGCAGGGCCATTTCAGCCTGTCACAAAACAAGAAGGTCCATGAATGAATGGACACATGAAATGAAGTTTTCTATGAAAAATACAGCATCTTGTTAATAAAGCCTGCAGGAGTGTACATTTATATATAAGAGCTGAATTAGGGTTGTCAGGGCAGTATTATTTAAGCCATGACAACATTCTTTTAACATTTTATTGGATAAAAAATTAATTTTATACCTAATAATATGATAAAATGAACAACACAATACTTTAATTATACATTTATATTATTATCATTATTGTGGTTGATATATAGTAATATTAATAATTTAATTTGAAAATTGTACACCATAATTTATAAATTGCTAATGGATTGAGATTTTGTATTGAGGCTTCTACAGCAAAATAAAAATTAACATATCTGGATTTAGTACATTTATTTAGTTAACTTGTTCTGAGAAAGAATGAAAAGCAAACATGCAACAGCAAACAACTTAATATTCAAGGTTAAAAATCTACAGGACAAGGTTTGAACACATAGATGTTTCATACAATGCTGATATTAAAAGGTAATGGTCCAACAAACTTTCTTTTGGGGTAGTTTCTGTTTTAAAAGCTTTCTTTATTAAAATTATACAGTTTTATTAAAATTATACAGTTTTATTAAAATTATACAGTTTTATCCCATTGCTATCCTACGCTCTCACAAACACATCCCAAATATTTGCAGAATTCAGGCAGTGCAACATCTGTAACTCTTAACATTTTAAACCACTTTACCTTCTGTTTTTCAACTTCATCTTCATCTTCTGAGGTACTTTCTACTGATTCTGGCTTCTTCTTTGGACCTAAAGTGCAAACAGAGGACATGCACACATTTATCCAAGCATCTGCATGAGGGCAGAACCCCTCAGTACATCTCATTTTCCTGCAGCCAACACTTAAATGTCAGACGTGGGAAAAGGCTGGAAAGGTAATAAAAACCAAGTAGGCTTAGAGCAGTAAAAATACACTGAATATTTGCTCAGTGGAAGGAGCAGCAATATTCAAATGGCCTAAACAAGTCAACAAAAAAAGAACAGGAAAAACAGTTCCCAGGCAATTCACTGCAGCCCACGGGGGGTGCTCTTAATTTGGCTTCAATTTTGCTAAGCCAGGTTTGTACTCAGCCTAAAAATACAGACATGCCAGAAACATGTCAAGTTATATTACTAAAGATACGCTGGAACAGGACACATTTTCTGAGGAAGATATTTTTTTTCTGCCTTGACTATTCACTTGACTATTTCTACGTGGATTGCAAGCTGGAAGTGGATCTCCAGAAGAAACAAACCACCACCACCATAAAATAAACTATCCAGATGCTCAATGTCATCAGTTTGAAAACTACTCTTGATTTAGTTGTTCCAGAAACTGTGCAGGAAAATCAGATTTAGATAAAATATTGTTACCTAAACTACACAATTTAAGTTAATGTGTAGAAGGGAGAAATAAACGTCTTCCGTAAGACTTCAACAACTGTGGAATCTTTTTTGTCTTCCCAGAAGTGGCCAAACTCAGGAGAAGGAAACAGGGCACAGAAATCCAAATTGGAGACAATTAAATGAGGAGTTAAATCAGTAAATCTCTGTCTTTGCACACATCCCTCAAGGAGAGGCCCCTCAAGTTGCCTTCCCTCCCTCATCTTGCACTTCATGTGGAATTACAGAAGTCAACACAGCTCATCTTTATGCCTTCAGTGTTTTCTGTGGCTGCAGGAGGGGCTGAACCAGAAGCTGGTATCAAAGTGAGCTCTTCTCCATGAAAATAAATAAATGAATAGAACCTTTATTTCTTATTATGACAATATGCAGCCAACAAAACCATCTTTGGGCCTAAAAATCACTCTTAGCACTCAAAAACTTGCATCATATTGAAAAGTTTGGTTTGAGAATTCCCGAATGGATCATTTTCTGTCTTTTCAATACACTCTTTTCATCGGGTTTGTTCCCCCTACAGCAGCAGATACCCCAGTGTTATGCAGAACCAACTAGACAGCAGGAAAAGCTTCCAGTCCTTGCTGGAATCCCCCCCTTCCTGCTCAATCTGCCACTTGGTTATTTCTCAGCTCAAGAATTTCCTTTGCAACATTCACTTTGCACATCAACAACTTTCCAGTGCTGACAGTGAAAAGCTGATCTTCGTTCTGAGACTTCAATACAGAGGCTGACCCCAAATCTAAAACCCCTCTCACAAGACCTCTTATCTGCCTCACTCAGAAGCTTGAGAGTCAGTCTCAAAAGCCTCACCAAGACACGCAGTAAATGAGTCTTTTCATCTCCTTTATCTTCCAAGCACAGGTTCTACAGCTACACTGAGATTTTGCTGGTAACCTCCGATGTCCCTGCAGTCCTACAGCTCCTTTCAGCTTTAGAGAGCCATCAATTCCCACACACATCATAAATTAGATCACGAGAAGGCATCAAATGGTTTGGAACCTAGAGGAGTTACAATAATGTTTAAAGAACCTTGTTCTCAGAGAAGAATCAACAGAAATGACATTTAATAGTCTAATGTGTTCTGAAACTATTCAGTGATCTCCAAAAGCAGGCCACTGCCCTCATGTTAATAAGCAATTCCCCTATTCAGCTATTAATTTTCCAACAGTTTAAGCTACAAGTGTCATTCTGTCTCCCACAAACCTTTTATGAGACCCCACAGAAACTGATGCAGCGAGACTGAAACTGGCCCAGCCAAATCCAAGTTTTCCAATGCTTTTTGAAACAGTATGGGCATCCATGTAAAATGGAAGTGACAAATGATTTTTTTATTATTGACAATATAAAACTAGAATCAAGTTTCTGGAATGCAACATCAAGGCTCAAACTGATGCAGCATTCTGACATTTTAGCCCGTGGTACTATTAATAAAAACATATGAAAACTCTGTGCAAAGCAAGCAGTGTCAGGAATTTCAGGAGTGCTGATGTGCACGCAACCTGCACCCTGCACAGACACCCTTTGGGCACAGCAGGAACGACGAATTCACTCTACCTGGGCTCTCCCAAGGTGAAGCACCCCCACAGCGTAAGAAGCACTGCCTGCATTACAAGCAGTTACCAGGAACAAAGACATACCTGAGGAATTTACGCTTGAGTAGACTTTCCATAATTTGCAGTTCTCCTTTCATAGCACTCAACACAAAGATGTTGTGCCCTTTGCACGTTACAGCCAATTAGTGAATCCAGTAGGGGAGCAAATGCAGCCCTGCAAAACCCCAACAGCCCTGCTGCATCCTCAGCTCCTGCACTGCTCCACAGGAGGCTGCAAACATCCCCTGTCATGTGCTTTTCCAGCATAATCCAAGATAATCTGTCAGTTTAAGGGAGAAACTTCAATCTTTCAGGGGAATTGTGGAAGGCTTATGAGAAAGGGTGACCATTCCAGTTATTGCTGCCTGTACCCTACAGACAAAGTTGGTGGAGTTCCAGTGAAGTTCAAAGATGACTGTAACCCATTTTCCCCCTCTGCATAAATTAGCTGTGCTTAAAAGCAAGCCCAGCTATGAGACAGAGGCTGCTGTGGGTAAACTTGGTGAAAGCCAAAGTTGTGCTGTGTAATTACCATTAAAACATCTCCTGGCTTGCAGCCAACCACTGTCCCCTCCCTTTAAAACCTCTCCAGGGCTAACCATGTTCTGGTTTGCTCCTGTATCTCAGCAGATTATCAGTAATCTTGCAGACAAAAGCTTCACTTTTCTTAACCTTTATGTCTGTTTTATTATCTTCACAGACTCCACAAACATTAAAGTCTATTCTTCAGATTATGAACAAGAAGGTTTAAGAATGTGCAGACACAACCATTCACTACTGAGCCCCTCCATGGCACAAAGAACCTCTGACATAAAGCAGAAGGAAACATTTTATCAGAGATTTCATATATTCTGTTGAAATGTCAAATATTAGCATACTACTTTCTCCTAACATAAATTTCAAACAATCAGGTCAGAAGCCTGTGCTGGCCGGTGTCAAATTAAAAGTGATCTACACTTTTTAAATGAAACTTGGATCTGCACTGCTCTGCTGAACCACCCCACCCCCCCATCAAAACAACAGATTGGTAATATTTGTAAATCAGTTGCTATCTTCTTTTTGTTTGTTTTCTTCTGGATTTTTTTCTTCTTTTAATGTACTTTGGTATGAACCACCCTTAGGTTTTGGTTTCCAAAAACATGGAATGCCAGGAACTCACTGATACTGATTTTAACCACCAAAATCACACTCCAAATAAATTTGCTGTAACCACAGCAAAAGTTAATTTAAACATCAGTCTAAAAAGCTTGTATAAAAGGTATCCTTGAAATCTAAGCTGAGCAAGTTATTTCCTAAAATACTGCATTTCCCTGTTTGTGTTTCTAAGCAGTACACAACTGAAAATGTGCATCAGACTGAGAGAAAAATGATTTCTTCTGAAAGACAACTTTGTTTATGATGCAAAAACTTCTGATGTCTTTGTAACTGACCCACATTTCAAAGGGACTCATGTATAGCTGGCTCTTCCTGTGTGAAAGGAAACAGATTTCAAAAGCAATGGAGTTCTTTCCTCTGGAATATTGAGGGGAGCAGCTTGTTTTTAACATCCATCCCCAGGAACTCGTTAACGGTATCTGGTGAAAGCTGAGAGAACATTCCCTACCATTCCACGTATCAAAACAGGCATCATTTTACAAGAACAGCAATTTTAGTATTTACTCCAGCCTGGCTTTGTTTTGAAAGCCCAGCATTCAAAGAAAGGGCAGATGTATTCCCCAATCACCTCTCTTGACCCACCTGTTTTCTCTAATTCCTCAGCAAAATAGGGGTCGTTGAGATCAACATCAGGTGGAAGTTCATCTTCACTCTCTTCTCTCTCAGCAGTGGCCTGTAACAAAGCACAAATATTATTTCAATCAACATATTGAACTACCACTTAAGTTTCACTGGAATTAGATGTTCCCTCTGTTAATAGCTGTGTAGATGAAAACTGAAACGCTCTACGTGGAACATCGTAAATCTGGAATACACTAAAAACTGCTGGTAAAGACAGATCAACAACTGAAAACCTGTTTCACACGTTTAAAGCTGTTTATTAGGTGTACCCCCAAACTGTGAGGTACCAGCTGACCACTCCAACCAATTACAGCATCACAGCACTGTTATGTCCCCACTTTGTGTTCCACAGATTTTCAGCTTGGGCAAATACTCGAGCAAGGAGCTTCATTTTGAGGTCTGAATTTCAAAAAGACCCAGCTTGGATTTAAAAGAACAGATTTTATGTGCCCCTTTGACTTAATTTCTCTGACTGCACAAGAGTATTATGCCAGAAAAAGCTGCTCTGCTACCTAACAGTGCTACTTTACTCAGAACACCCATCGGGTTTAAGAATTTACTCATCAAATGCCAATGGAAAATGACTGGAAGTCAAGGTGTAGAGATTACTCTTAGTAACATCATTCTGCAATATGAGTTATATTCAGACTTGTTTAAGAAGTCAGGGAAGCTAAATTCTGTATGCCACATGCCTTTTTTTTCCAAGCATATGCACGAATATTTCATTCCTCTGCCTGTTCCTGCACATCACTGCCCCAGGAGTCAGCTGCTTCACCATTACTTTCCACATGTGAGCAGATGAAGCAACAGCAATTTTCACATTAGCATAGGACTGTTTTGTTATTTACACACAAAAAAGATGTTTACCAAGTTTGCTCTTGCAAATTGAAAGTGGAATCGTTCTTTGTGGCTGTTAATTCTTTGCCAGCTTTGGCAACCAATCCTGCATTATGTTGGCCCCAACGTTTCCAAAACTACAATTATCCTTCTCATCACAGCTTTGCACACAGCGGCAAAAAGACCCTTCTTAATGCATTCAAAATGCAAATCAAAGCCAAGTGTTCTTATGAATAATTTGTCTTTAAAGCAGCACGAGGAGATGAATGAAGTTTTGTGTAATATATGTATGGTCAGCAGTATCCTGAAAATCATTTGCTCTCTAAGTTTGATGAGGTATCTCAGTCTTTCCACACGAGTGACCACTGCATGTTTTAACCTTAAAATAGTACTGGCAGCTCTACAATCTTTTATTTAGTTTATCCAAAGCAAACAATGTCAGCAACTTAAGAAAACAAACAAAAATTGCGGCCAATAAAAACGTTACCTTTCTCTTTTTTTTAAGCATTCTTTTTTCTTTCTTCTTCTCCAGGTATTTTTGCCACGGAGTCAGGTTATCCTTTCCTTCCAACCTGTTTTTGACCATTTCTTCAGCAGTTTCTTTGAGGCCTAGAAAAAAAAACCCAAAACCCATAGTAAATTAAAAAAAAGAGAGCTATTTTGTTTTATGTATCACACTGTAATTAGTTAAGATTCTGAATTAGTTTCTGAAACTTTGCCTCTGTGACAATTTTGTGCTGCAGGATCTCAGCTGACCAGTGTATATTTTGTTCATCGTTATAAATTGAGAACAGTAAGATTTTATCTGAATAAATTGAAAATAAAAATAAATATGCAGCTAGAAGGCTCAGAAAGAATGTGAATAAACCCCCAAATTCCCTGCATTGTGTACTAATCTCATGGCATGACATGCTTTGAGTTAAACTAGACAAATTATTTTGAGGTCACCTAGTCATTTAAGGCTACTTATTATTAGTCTGCTTTAATAACAGAAATTTATCTAAAATAAAGAAACAGCACATGACTGATATGACAGCAAATCTAGATTAAGATTCAGTGCTTCAGTTAAATAACTTGCTTTTGTTTTTTAAAGTATTTGTTAACAAGAAGCTGGGATTAAGGGCACAGATTGCTTGAAACACATCAGCCTCTCAAAAAAACAAACAAAAAAAATAGTAGAAAGAGTGTTTTTTGTTATCACTGATTGCCAGTTCAAATTGTAATAGCTCAAGACAAAAGGAAAAAAAATTAAAAAACAAAAGAAAGAAAAGAGCAGCAAGAGAAATAAACCATCCCCTTATTTGATTAGCAAGCCAAGTGAGTGTAAGTAGGTTGTGTATTTAGCAGCTGTGTGAACTGAGAGACAGAAGGAGAAAAGGACCATCCTATCACCAGACAGATTTCTGAAAAATTCCACACTTCAGGAATGCTTTTTCCAAAGTCACTCCATCACACAGCACTGGGATGTTATGAGGACAAACACTGATTCCAGATGCAGCTTCTGCCCCTCCTCACGAGATGGGCACTTGCAAGGGCAAAATTCCTGGATGGAAGGAGATGAACTGACTTGTGCACCAGAGCAGAATTCAGTGGCAGGAACAGAATCCACTTCCCTGGCAGGACGTAACAACTGAGCAAAGAAGGATTTTTCTCCTACCTGCAGTTCCTTGCTTCCTTCACTACATCCTTCTCTTTTTTCAACTTCCATAACAAACCAGTCAGACATCCTACAGGTAACATCCTCTCCCGTGAAATGACTGAAATATCTTGGGAGTTTGGAGGAATCCTCTTTCTGCTTCCTCCTCCAAGTCTGGTATTTGCCACCTCTTCCCCAATTCCACTTGTTCTGATTTTTTTTTGTCAGCAATCCCTTTTTGCCACCCAATCCAGCCCTCACTTGACCACATCCTACTCTCTCTTGCCCCTCATTCCAGTTTTACTGCTCAGGAATCCTACTGGGACCTCTCCAGATGTCCCAGACTGGATCCCATCCTTTCTCAGGTTTCTAAGTTTCCAATCATTGCTCCTCCTCAGTCCTTCCAGCTCTCCTCCATATCATCATGGAAAAAAATGGGCCTTTTGATGGACAGTCCTGCCTGTCTGGGCAGGTAAAACATTTCTGTGGAAAACTGCAAACACCAATCCCTGTCCCGGTGCTTGTCCACACTCCAAAAGCAATTCCAAGGCTGGAGAGCTGGTTACAAGACGTCTGAGATACGAAGTGTGGCCAAGCTCTAAAATCATATTAAGCCACAGAGTCACAGGAAGGAAAGAGCGGAGCAAAAACAAGATAAAGGATCCTTCCATTACCCTGGAGAGACGACAGAATTAACGGGAAGTGGAAAACTGTTACAGCCACAAAAATCTGGTGCTAAACCGGCAAACAAATCCGAGCCACAAGAAAAGGAAGGTTCACTAAAAACGTGCCATTAAGAAACCCTCTCACACAACAAGAACAAACCCTCAGTTATCTCCAAAGTCAATGAAAGCAGAGTCATCAGCTTCCCAGAAAATGAGCTGCTACGGCTTTGGATACTATTTTGGAGTACATCGATGGCAAAAATTACTGCTCAGGTAGCAACCTTGTAGGTTCTCTCTGAAGGCAGTAAATGCAGAATTAAAAAGCCACATCTCCAGGGAAAGAGAGACCCCTGAGAGAGAGAGATCTCGGAGGAGGTTACAATATTTCTGATTTATTTGCCTGCAAAATGGAATCATTTGATCCATCTGGCGCTGAAGGACTTGGAGGAAAATGCAGCCCTTTCTTGTGGTATTTGGCAGTCTCATGAAAGGCATTAGAGTTTCTCCACAGATTAGAATGGCTTAGAAACTACTGTCCAGACCACTTCCCGAGAGTGAGAGTGTATTTAAGTGGTCAAAAGGATTTTGATTGCAGAAGGGGAAAGGAATTGTCTACTTTAGGTAGAATTGTTAGCTGGCTGTAGAAAGGGCTGATTTATACCCTTATCAATATAATTTTTTAATTTTATTTTTTTTTAAAGAATAAATTAATCACACTGGTTTCATTTAATCTTCACGAAGAAAGGAAAGAGAGGAAAAGGTCATCTTTATTAGCATGCAACTAAATCACTCTTGAGCTAAAGGATTAGAAGTGTGATAAATACTTAAAAAACCTGAGTACACTGTTGTCACCTTGGTGGGAAAGTGAGGGAGGGTGGGCAAGCCAGAACTTTTACTTCTCCAAACACTTAGTTTTGAAAACTTGTGTAAGTTCAACAGCCTGCAAGTGTCACAGTTATTAGAGGCTAAAAAGATGAACCTCTGTTCTCAGGAAATTCAAAAATGAGTGAGTTCATCTTGCAGGGTGACGAAAAAAGAAACACCCTGTTGCCAGTGGGTAAAAGGAACGGCAGGTAAATACTCTGTTACCATTAGAATTTGTCACCCCCAAAAGAAAAAATGTGAAGTCCAAACACTGATCCAGGTGGAGACAGGTATTCCATAGGAGCATTCTCTGCTCTGCTTAATCTCTGACAACACACAGTTGGGCTTTACTGTGCACTTTACAGAGACACCATGGCTCTCTATTCTGTTTCTGATGAAAACAAATCTGAAGTTTTCCTTTAAGCCCAGCTAAATATTTACATCTCCTTCTTCCCAAAGGAAGAATTTTTAAGTCAAAAAAACCAACCAACCAAACAACAAACAACCAAACTTGGCTGAACATCATCAAGAAATGCAGTTGTGGTCTTTTCCCTCTTCACTTTCTGAGTGAGGGAGCTTTGGGAGCTGGGTAAGGACTCGTAGTAATTGTTGCTTCAATCAGATATGATTAAGAAAACAGATGGATGCTTAAATATAACACTGATTTTGTGCCTAGAAGAAACAGACCAAAGAGAGTTGGAACTACATCTAATTTATTTTTGCTGGCACTGTGGTTTATTTAAAACTATTATGATTCAAGAATAACTGAATCATCCACGAAGTATGCTTTCTATAACCATGTGTAAATATCTGTGCCAAAACTCAAGTTTTTAAATTAATTCAAATCTCTGCCTTTCAATTGAAAAACTTCCTAGATTTAACTGTTGTAATTCTTCTGTGTATTAAACATTTGGGCAGGAAAAAGATTTTGCAGTAAGTCAAGCACATTAAAGCAGAGCTTGATAATAAAAATATTTCAACAGACAGAAACTAGTTCTGAAAAAAAATTAAGGAGCCTTAAGAGATTACAACAAGAACTATTTTTGAATGCTCAGGATGCTCCAGTTGAACACAATTAAATTGTTTGGGAATTTAAATAAGCACACTTGTTCAAGAAAAAAATAACATAATAACTAATGTACCTCCCCTAAGGAAACACAGCCCTGACTACGTAGATATTGCCAGAGCTATAAACTACTGTTCAGTGTGTGCTGACTGTGCTCCACCATAAACAAAGAGAGATATATAAAAAGTGTCCTTTTCAGGTGTGCAGGACTTGCTCTCCAAATGCTGCCTCAAGTCAGTAACAGCTGAACTTTTGACTCAGTAGCCAAGTCAAAACTCCGGTCTTCACTTTCAGGACGTGAAAGGACCAGGAAGGTGCAGTAAGGAAGGGGTTGGGCTTGGATGTAGTATGAGACAAATCCAATTTTCTGAAGTCCAGCTCCACTGCAAAGACACAGGGAGCCCATGGATCAGAGAACTGGATTCCATCTCCACTGCACTGAACACTCCATTTCTGCTGAATGAGAATGTCATTTAATTATAACATGCAAGGCACAGAGTTAAGAGAGAGCCTCTCACAAAACTTCTTGCTCTCCCTGGGCAAGAGTCACTAAAGAGAAACTAAAACAGTTTTCCTTCTTCTAAAATGAATGGTTTGCTCCAGATTCCTGACTAGGTCACCACATGAAGCTGCTTAGACCTTTTTTAATTTACAGAACCTCTTTCACACAATTTGCAAGGTTCTTCAGAAGACAGAAAGCCCAGAAAACAAAAACCAGCCCCAAGTGTGCTTTCCAAACCAACCCAAAAGATGGCAGCTTTAAACTACGTGTAAATAAAAAGATATACAATTACAGACCAGTAATTAGCTTGATTGTGGTTTCCACCAAACAACAAATGCTTGTAAAAAATCTTATAACAGATTCTCTGTATGAAAAAAACCTCTTTGGCCTTGAATGCCCAGTGACAGGATGAATTAACTACTGAGCAAACACCACCACAAATGCAAGTAGTGACACGCTGTGGACAGATGGAGTACAACTCTGTGTCAGCAAACACTTGTCCTGTCGTGCATGATACAGCTCCTTCTAAAAGGCTTTGGGAGAATTCATGCCAGAAATTACTGGAATCATATATTTCAGTTATATTAACTGAAAGCACATAATTATTTTTAATGCCAGTGTATCCTTTCAGATACAGGCCTCATAAAGAAATAGGAATAAAACTGTTCTGTTCAGTTCGGTCCATTTCAGTGAACCACTACAGACTCAGAATATTTAGGAAGTGAGCATTTATATTCAACAGAAGTTTTTAGTAACAGATGAGGCTGTGTCCTGCCACAGCCTGCACCTGCTGAGCCAGTGCAGCACCTTGCTGCTCCCAAAAAGGGAATGTCATACTTCCCTAGTCCTTGGGCTGCATTGTCTAAACCCCTGAACACTCACCAAAATGCTTCCATTTGCACATCTGACTCAGCAGATTTTTTTTTTCTTCTTTTCCAGGGTAGTTCTGCCTTTTTAGCAAACAAAATTAAGCTTGCAAAGAGACCTACCAAGTGCCAGGGCTGGTTCAGGCACTCAGAACGAGCTCTGAGCCAGCATCGAGGAGGAAATGCCACAGAGATCCCTTTGTGGATGTGGGGAACTGTTCCACTGGCTCATTCCACCTCATGGAAAGCACCCACCCAGGAACAACACAGGAAAATCAGTCTGAATGTTTTATCACCCATAAAGGAAAAAAAGAACTGATTTTTGGATCTCAGCATGAGTTCTGCTGGGATGCCATGTGGTGAAGTTACCTTTTCTTTTTTTTAATTTCCAGATGACAATCTGGATGTCACTATCCCTCAGCTTCTCTTCCTGGTAGCTTTCCTTGTCCCAGAGCAGTCTCACTGCAAGGCCAGACTTCTCCCTTCTCTGTTCCCCCAAATCTTTATCATAATGCAAGCAGGACTTTCAAACCATTCTCCTCTAATTTTATGCCACGTTAACAAACTATACTGGTTTTCCTTTTTAAAAGTGTAGGTATGGTTCAGGACTCCAGGGCAAACACGTGGATTCCATTTTAAAAACTCTATAAAGTGAAGAATGAAAAAGCAAATACAAAAAAAACCAAAAACAAAACAAAAAAACCAAAACCAACAAAAAACCCCAAAACAAAACAAAAAACCCAAACAAACCAACCAACCAAACAAACAAAAAACCAAACCAACTTGGAGAAAAAATAATCTACAAAAAGAAACTTAGAGCTGAGGAACTGAGTTCAGTCATATTATTTCTTTTATTTGCCTCTTTCTAAACAATCTGGATTTCAGTTTATGGGAAAAAAAAAAAAAAAAAGGTTTGTTTCTCCTCCTATAAATTGAGCACCTTATACTATATCCCTGCTAGCAGGCCAATACTGCTTATCCTCCAAGGCAGGAAAAGAAAATAAAGCTTACCTGGAACCCATTTAATCTCCATTCCTATATCCTTCTCTTCCTGTTTTTTCTCTTTTTCTTGGATACTTTGCAAAAGTTCTCTGTACTTGGCAATTTGCTCTTCATCATCTTTTTGGCTTTTCCTCGGTCTGTCGTCTTCCATTTCATTAACTACCTCACCATCTAGAGGGAGAGAGGAAAACTATCACAGGCAGCCTCAAAAAAAGTGAGCAACTGGAGTTCATGTTTACAAACACCTTCTTAGATGAAATAAAAATAGAATCTGAAAAGACAAAAGAAAGTTTGTTCAGCAAATCCCTGGTTGGACACAGCATCCTTTAATGTATTTTAAAATTATTAGTTCCAGAGTCCCTTATGGCAGGGCAGTACCTAAATCTCAGAAAACAGTGCTGTGAAGCGTTTTGAAAATAGAATCCTACATTTTAAAAAGCAAACTTTGCAAGATTCTGTAACAGAGATAATCCCTCAATGCCTTCATCTTCAGTGACTTGCTGAATGAACAAATGACACAAGACGGAAAGAAGGTTTTTTCTTCCCTTTTTTTTTCTAGTCAAACACAAAGAAAATGTGACTTACAATAAGCGTTTAACAAATATTTGAGAGAGAACAGGCTTTAAAGGTGCTGCAGCTCCTTGAACTGTAGAAAACTAGGTTTGGGGTAGGCTCCTTTTCTTCTGGTTTAGCAGTTAAAGCTGTGCTTCCTACAGTGCTGAACTGCAGGGACAGCACCAGTGCTGTCTAGAAAGACATATCCCAGTTGCAAGTCTGGTTTTTGGCTACAACTGAGGTGTGACACTGCTCTTTTCCACATCCCATCACTGCACGAAGCTGGTTGTTGGCTGGAAGCAGAAATCTTTACAGTTCATAGAATCACAGAATCATTTAGGTTGGAAAAGACCTTTAAGATCATCAAGTCCAACCATTAACTCAGCACTGCCCACCACTAAACCTTGTCCCCAAGTGCCACATCTACATGGATTTTGAATACCTCCAGGGATGGGGACTCAGCCACTTCCCTGGGCAGCCTGTTCCAATATCTACCACCTTTCCCCCATCCACTCTGTCATAAAAGATTGTTTTAGTCAAGCAGGACCTTCCCGTCCCAGGCCTGTGCTGACTGGGCCTGATGCCCTGCTTGTCCTGTCCAAGCCACGTGATGGCACTCCAGCTGATCTGCTCCACGACCTTCCCCAGCACCAAGGTCAAGATGACAGGCCTGTAGTTCCCTGGATCCTCCCTCCAGCCCTTACTGCAGATGGGACTTGCACTTCCTAACTTCCAGTCACCTCCCCAGTTATCCAGGGCTGCTGAAAAACAGTGGGAAGTGGCTAAGTGAGCACCTCCCTCAGCACCCTTGGGTGGATCCCACCCGGCCCCATAGACCTGTTTGTGTCCAAGTGGTGTAGCCAATCACTGACCATTTCCCCTTGGATTCATTCTGCTCCTTGCCTTCCAGCTCAGGTACCCAGAGAACAACCAGTCTTACTGAGGCAAAGAAGGCATTTAAGTATTTAATTAAGCCTTTTCCTCATCCCTTGTCACTTTGCATCCACCAAAGGACGGAGTTTCTCCTCAGCTCTCCTCTTATTGCCAATGTATTTATAGAAACAATTTTCACTATCTTTCACGGGTTAAGTTCTAGCTGGGCCTTGCCTTTCTAATATTCTCCCAGCATAACCTCACAGCAACCTTGTAATCCCCCTGAAGTGCCTTCCAAAGTTCATAAACCCCTTTTCTTTCCCGAGCTCCAGCCAAAGCTCCCTGTCCAGCCAGGCCAGGCTCCGTCCCTGCTGGCACATGGGGACACGCAGCTGCAGCGCCCTCAGCAGAAGCTGAGATCTAAGAGGGAAACATCTGCTCCCACAGAAAAACAAAAGCCAACTCTGTTTTGAAGATGAGAGAGGGGAAAAAAGCCATTTTGTTGTTCCTTCCTCCTGGTGTCCCGTGAAAGGAGAAGCTGGATGGGAACTGAAGAAATCCTTAAGCTCCCTAGAACCCGGATTTGTAGTTTACCACTGGTTTTGCCAGGAGAAATTTAAACAGCAATGCATATTGTCATTCTTTCTCATTTAGGTAAAACTTGCAGCTCTTTTGTCCAAACCGAGTTTCAACACAAACGCTCAACGTGGCCCTCCAAGGAACCGTAAGAGCTTTTCGTTCCGCAGGCAAACAAAGCACATTTGACAACAGCTGCAGGAAAGGAAAGTGAGCTGAGTACGTTGTTAAAGTTTGTTCGGAGTTCAAATAACCTTGTCAGTAGCTTTCAAGCATCACACTGTTGCACAACATCAGGAACCACTTTCTGCTGGATACTGATGCTTTCTGCCAGCAGTTTGTTCAAAGGCTTTTCGAACAAAACACGCCAACAAAACAAAAGTTCCGGTGCATTAATAGCTGCACTGCAAGAGAACCACAATCAACCTGGGAAGGAGAAAAAAGGCAAAAGCTGATGAAATTTAAGAGTATAAAATACAAGTATATTCTTATTGTTTTCCAAGGGAAGTATTAACAGAAGTGCTAAGAGATTTAAAGAGAACAAAGTTAAAAACCGTGAGGCTGGTCAGGAGCACTCCAATACAACCATGTGTGGGGGCATGTTTGTTTTTAAGAGTTGAAATGAATAAAAACTATCACCAAGTGCAGAGGTTCAACATATTAAATTGGTGATTGGCAGCTGAGAGCACGTTCTTGTAATCACAGGATTGTGAAGAGATTGTATGCTAAGTTTAAGAAGATTATCTTACAACAGCTGAGTAGGTGATCCCTTTTATGTTTTAAACTTGGCCTGTAGAAACCAAAAAGATTAGAAAACTCAGGGCAGAGAAAACATTTGACAAGAGGTCTGCTGCAAAGCTGAGTTTCTTTTAAAGATGGAAAGATAAAATTTCCCCTCACGATTTCATGGCACAGCAGAAAATTCAGCTACTGATTTGGATGGCTGAGGGGCCACACCATAAAAATGCACTAAATGGCTCAATTGTATCCAGGGTAGTTACTCAAATTCAGATAGGTAGAAAGGAAAAAGAAACACCACAACCTCCCTACAATGCATGTAGACCCACAGAATTACAAATATAAAGCTCTACACTCCAGCAGTCCAGAAGCAAATCCAAGCTAGATTACAGCATGATATGAAGAATTAAACGTGCTGACCTCAGTCTTGCACCAGAAAATAATGACAAAAACTGGGATTTAATCCCACTTTGCCAAATTCTCAACACTCCCTCAACAAGAAGTTGTGCAAATCACAGTGGCTCATCCCAGTGATAATAAGGAAAAAGAGAAATTTGCAATTCAAGGTAATTGAAGCTTATTTAAAGCACATCAGAGTCGATGTCTTTTCGTAAGGTATTTTTCAGGGAGAAAAGATACTGGGAGAAGAGAATGCAAACAGACAGGTAACAGTAAATGAATGACAAGCATTAAATTATAGCTTTTTTGTTTTTTTTTTTTTGCATTTTCCTTCAGGTCTGTAGTGTAACCAACTTGAGTGGTGTGCACTGGCTGCAGCTTTTAAAACTCCCTTTGCAAACCAGTGACTGTTGTAGCACCTTTAATTAAAAACCAAACCCAACACAACAGCTCCTGCAAAGATGTTTTGGGAAAGTATTCAATACCTCCATAGTTCTATCAAGTTTTTGGTAATTCATAGAAAAAAATTCTGAAATTCCCACGGGATTTCAACTCATAAACTGTTTAAACCTCTTGCTTCTTCTTTCCAGAGACAGTATTAAATAATTGCATGTTCTACTTCTGTCACCTTCCATGTCTCAGCCTTCTGAAATAGTTTTAGCAAATAGAAACACATGTGAAGAGTGCTCATTATTAGGAGAGAAAGGAAGACTGTACTGCCATCTGATAAAATGCTGTATATGCATTGAAATTTCTATATGTTATTGCATCAAACGGATTTCGGAATTGTAACAAGATTTAATCAATGCTCTGATTTTATTTAACATTAAGCACTAATGTTACATCCCTTCCAACTCAGGAAATTCTGTATGATCATATCAAGATCAGCTAATTAAAAATACACCTATAAAGGCATTTTGTCACATAGTCTGTCCCAGGATGTGTGTGCTGTGCAAAGCAGAACAGCAGAAAAAGATGTTGCTCCTGCCAAGATTAAAAAAAAAAAAAACAACCAAAAAAACAGATTAAAAGCTGAGACATGAACCCCATAATGCTGAATTTGAAGCATATTTAAAATGCCATACACTAAGGCAACGGTCCTCATGGTCAAAATAGCAATTATGGGCTGGATTTGGTGAGTGCCACAAACACTCCCTGACTGGGACAAAGGGACCCGAGCAACAGGAAATTCAGGAGAAGCGTAAAGGAGACACTTCGTGCCATGAACCACGACATTGCAGGTCACTGAAATACTGGACATTACAAAACTGTTGTATAACAGTAACATTCGTGATGCACATATTTGAAGTTGAAAAATTCCATTAAAAAAAAAAACAAAAAAACCAGATTAGAAGAGGCCAACAAAAACCTGTTTATAAATAAAGCCTTTTGATAAGTTTAAAGAATATGAATAAAAAGCCAGGACATTTTTTCCCTCCTTATCACACTCCTACACTTCCATTCAAGCAGCTGACGTTGATTTTTCCCACTGGTGCATAGTGCCACGGAATTCTGCTGGATGGAATCCTGACAGATGGGATCCTGTTTTGCATCACACAGGAACGCATTAAAGACATGACAACATAATTCCTCTATTAATAACTTACTTTTCAAACCCTCATTAGAACCCAGACATTTCCAGATTTAAAATTTATTACTCTGATAAGATTACTTTAAGGTCAATTTTTTTTTTCCCCTTCCCAGCAGTGGAATTTTACTCTTTAAAGGTTCTGAAGTATTGCTTACATGGATATTTGCTTTCATCACTGATCACCTCGTATGTGATAGAAGATGGAAATTCTTCCCTCTGCACCTCCTGCTCCCATTTCTATACTTCCCCAAAGTTCACAACAAAGGTACAGTTTGTAAATGCATTTTTATGTATGAGAAGATGAGAAACAAATGGACATGAACCCTGCCAAGGTATTGCCAAGCTGAGTTTGTTGCCAGAAGATTTCCCAACCCCATAACCAGAAAAATCTGTAATGTTCTTTTCCACGCTCCAAGCTCATCTCTGATTGCAACAACCTGCTTTATAATGCAGTATAAATCAATTTTAACTCTGCTGGAAGGACCTGATTAAGGCTTAATGAAATTTTATTTGCCTCATAATTTAGGCTATATATATTAATAAAAGCATGATGAATTTTAGAAAGAAAACAAGCAAGTTAAATCAGGGATTTACACACTGGTGCACCATACACAGAAGATTTATGTACCTTACTAAGTTAGATGAAATACTCTTTGTGTGTTTAAGAAGTGAATCAAAAAGCATTTGAAAGATGTTACTATTCATTTAGTCACTAACCACTTGACATTTCAAACCAGAACTTTTTTCCTCTGAAAAGGAAGCACTCACAAGTTCTATAGTTCTACAATTTTATCTCAGCAATGAGGAAATTAAATTAGGTATTGCCAAACTTGACAAAGAGATGTCAAGGCACCCTGAAAAAATGAGAAAGGGGGTAGGAGGAGAAATAAAAAAGCAAGAAAATTATTTTATGCCTAAAGTTTCAAGCTCCTATTCAGAAAGGAGCTACTCAGGGGCTCAGTCATTGGGATCACTCCAAATCACCAACTATTTGGCTATTTTTGATCAGTGTTACTCAGATTTCACAGAAAGGCAAGAGATCTTCATTAATTCAGCACCAAATGGACAGAACAGCTACCACAATCTCCACAGAAATAATTCGAATGTGTGATGAAAAACAACATTCAGCTACCACACTGTGTCTCTAAAAATAATGACACAATTTTGGGGTCACACCAGTGATGTTGTTTACTCAGAGAATGAGGATGGGATTTAAATAACTCCTGTTCAAAACACTGGAGCCAATGACTCCGTGGGCAACACCTGCTACCAAAGTACCTTGCTGCTCTTCTTCCTCTTCTTCACTTGATGAAGCCAAATAGGCTTGAAAATCCATGTCAAGAAGTTCCTCCTTGTTAAAAGTTCTGCTGAGTGACGTGACTCGCTCGTGATCTGTCTCGTCCCACGTGATATCTACCTTAAAAACAACAATGCCAGTTGAGGAAGCTGGAACACTGAAACTAAACATTGTAGCACTGGATTTTAGGGACAGTGATTTGATACCAGCAGTGTAAACCCGTTAGTAATGCTCTCTACAATAATTAGCTATAGTAACTAATTGCTAAAGTAAATTTTATTATAACTTTTTGGGATTTACTTTACAGTGAGTTTCAAGGAGTTTGAGCTACATAAAAAAATCTCCTCGTGCACTGAACGGTTCTGTAACAGCAGGTCACACAACACAAAACCTCTGTAAGCCAAATTTCCTTCGTGGCAGCAGATACTGGTGTTGAAGCAGTCACCAACTCTTTTCCTCTTCCAGTAGCAACTCACTCCTGGATTCACGTAGGGATCGCAGCAGGGGACAATGAAAGCGTTTGTGCAACTGCACCCTCAACCAGAGATTAAAACAGATCTGAGGGGAAAATGATCCAGCAGGAAGTACTTATTTCTCAACTGATCACTTCTCCAGTCTGGTTCCCTTCATGGCCAGATGGAAGTGCTGGCTGTCAGTAAGACAGAGCAGGGGTGAATCGCTACAAGGAGGGGAAGCTGTTTAGGGCCTGGGACTACCACCAGAAAGGCCCTTATTGACTTACACACAAACACCCATTTTAGGCAAATTAGAAGATTTCTCTGTGAAAAACAAAGTCATTTCACATGCAGCTTTAATTGGGTTAAAACACAGTATTTCATTTGTAACACAGAATCCCAACCTCTTTTAAAATAACCCAAAACAGGGCTGCGACTCGTGGGTCCGTGACACGTTTAAATCTTATGTTTGATGACTTTATTTTGAAATAGTGGAGATAATCAGTACTAAATTCCCCTACTACAAACATAATTTACAAGCTGACAGCAACACTAAACACGTTAGGAAAACAGGACAAACCCACTGTAAAGGTACCTTTGATGTCCCCATAGCAGCAGATGTGAAGTACTTTGGCTTATAAGCAGCTACGTTCACTTCTGAGGCTTCATCTTTCGGCTTATCATCAAATGTAACGTTATCTGGAATAAATCTTAAGGGCAAATAAAACATGTTATTCTTCAAATACATTGGGGAACTTCATAGTATAAACAGTCTAAGCTTTTCACGAGTATGGGAGAGCAGCATGAAAGAATTCGCTGCAATAAAAAAGCAGGTAAGCCTGAAACAGGAACAAAATGGACAAATGTTCCAGACGTGACAGAAACAACGCCCTTTTTGGGAAGTAAATCCATTTTCAGTCTGGTATAAACAGGGACAGAGGTGGTTTTCTTTGTTTTAAGAGTCATCTGTGCAGGAATGTTAAAAATTAAAAAGGGAGTAAAAGGGAATTTGGAAACAGATAAATAAAAAAAATTCAAAACATTTTAGGAAAGCCTGGTACATCTTCAAAATTATAATTAGTAGGGGGGAAATGTTAAAAAGACCAAGGTCATGGGTAACAATTGAAGAATTTGGTTTAAAAAAACAAGCCAAAACGTTTCTACACTATGTGAGATTAAAATTTAACAAAGCAGAAGATTAGGAAAGTCACTGGAGAATTTCAAACAGCTGTGCCTGTTGTAAAACATTATATTGCTATGTTTAAAATGATGAGAAGTTACATGTTCACTTGGCAAAGATCATCTTCTCCAAAACGGTTCAAAGCAAACGAATTAAGCTCCTCTAGAAAATGGATTCAAAGCAAAAAACTTCCACTGACTTCCAAGAGTGTGCCCACAACAAGGGTCCCCAAAAGACCAACAGGGCTTCTGTCACAACCTTTTATGATTTAGGAACTTTTCTGCTCAGACTGGAAAGCTTTTTTGCAACAAAAGGGAAATACTAACAATGAAGCAAATAATAATTTAGAATCTTTTCTTCCCCAAACGTGACTTTTGAAATATTAGAGCTTCCAGCTCATTCACAGGGGCCAACATATCCATTGCAGCTCCATGACACCAGCAGCAATATTCTTGCCCTGTGGGAAGCAATCTTGAAAAAAATGCCACTTCTGGACCCTTGGGGAAAGAAAAGAGAAAAAGAGAAAAGCAACAGTATGTTGTTTTGTTTTCTAAATCCTGTCCCTTTTACTTGTTGTACCAAAAGGTTGAAGATGCAACCAGAACATTTCATCTGGCTTCTCTGAAAACAATCTCCCCGTGCAGAAATGCTCTCAAACTTCCTATATTCCAATGGTCAAAAACAAGAAAAAAGAACCAACTCAGCAACCCACTGGATGCCCAGTTTATCTTCCTACCTCATTTTGGTTACAGAATAAAGTCAATATAATTTACTCCAAATTATTTTAAACTGCCTTTAATTCTCCCTCCTCGGCCCAACGTGTAAAAACGTCACCAGTGGAGTTACCTCAGGTCTATGAAAGAGCAGCTGCTTTCAAATTCCAGTCCATCACATTCCTCATAAATTTTATTGGCTGTTTCAGGGGAATCACATTCTACAACTGCATAGAAGTATTTCAGTCGCTTAAACTGATATTCCCGCAGTTTTTCCCTATAAATCCTGCAGAAGTGGAGAAAACAGCACAGTCAGGTGAGCTGGCTTTAACAACTTCTCATTGGCAAAATATTCTAATTCGAAATTTAAAATATTTATTAAAGACATGGACCCCATCAATCACTCTCCCAATCTTGGGATGAGATTAAATATTAAACAGCACGAGGTTCCACTGGTTTCTATTCGGTTTTCTCAAGTGTCCTCTGATGCACTAGGAACTTTCTCCCAGGGGATCGTCCCTTATTTTGGAAGAATCCAGATTTTCTAAATGCAGGGCAGTCCAGCAGGATGTATTATACAAATATGGTCCCAGCCAGGCTGCCAAACATCTGGAAATTCTGGAAAAATATAAAAGCAAAACCTTTAACAAAAGCTCAAAGAAAAAAAAAAGGGGGGGTTAAAAAAAGGCATGCCTGGACAATGGGTTAAGTTAAATCCTGGTAAGCCAGGACTGCTGCTTAAAGCACTCAAGAAATCTCACTCTGGGAATTCTTGGCCTGAGTTGAGGTCCCTGCTGATTGACAGATAAGAGTTTTGACAGTGAGCACCGAAGGGAGTTGACTGCAAGAATTTGTAGAGGAGAAATGCTGTTATCTCATTCCTTTCATTGATCACTCCAGTGAGTTACATTATATGAATTTTGAGCTCAAGTTTCATCATAATGCAGTTATTAAATGCAGTGAAAAAAAAACAACAGGGCCAGCTGTAAAACATCACTTGAAAAACCTAAAAAACTGAGGTGTCCAATGGGGACTTCCACACACAAACTTCTGGCAACTTGACTGGGATTTTCACTGAGAATTCAACATGTTATATCTCTCATTTGAAGATGTAAATACCCATCCTCCTCTGTGGTATTCTCTGGAAGCTCAAACAGTTCCACAGGTCCTTTTTGTTCTTCCTCTTTCAATCTCTCTTTTCCAAACTCTGAAGGATAAATCTACAAACACAACAAACACAAAACTACATTTTTAACTTCAGTGATGTAACGTACATTAAAAATGTCTCACCAGGCTTTTAGACTTCATGGTTTTTATTTAAAATCAGTAAAGGGATCAATTCTATAACCTTTAATACCCTCCTAATTTTAATGTATGGAAAAGACAGCGGAATAACCCAACTGCCTGCTAGGAATGAGTGTATTTTGAGACAGATGAAGAACAACAGGAACCCTGACTTTGTTCATTCCACTTTGACCCCTTTCAGAAAGGGGTAACACATTAATCTCTCTTTAGGTTCTCCACAGAACTGTTTTATTTTGTATTTTTCTTTTTTTTTTCTTTTTTACAGTAAAAGCCAGGTCTCATTTTAGAAATCAGATCTTACCTTAACAGAAAATACTGTTCCTCCTTTGGGAGTGAAAGAAGTAAATAGAGCCAGCAAATCCTTCGCCTTCAGCCTATCCCAATCCATATTACAAACTGCCAATCTACTGGTGATCTGGAAAAAAAAAAAGGACATAAAGTCCATAGGTTTAATTCCTGACTTTTATGGGGAATATATAATCCTCTAGCAGAACTCCGTGGTAAAAATCAAAAAGTCAGCAATAAACTTTGCTGGAAAAAAAAAAATAAAAGCAGCATTTTCTCAGATGTTGCAGTGACAACATCAACAATTAGGATTTTGTTGTCATCTTATATTGATAGCCACGATAGCAACTACTATCAAGGTATTGTGACAGCACAAGGGATCTGTAATTGTGCTAGTTGTAAAGTCCTTCTTCGCTATCTAATGATGTCTGTGATTTCTTAAAGCATCAGTTAAATAACTAAATATAAAACAGAAAGTGGAAAAACCACCAGTGAACAAGAGCAGTACTATTTAAAGGCTGGAATTTCTGAAAAGCTTGATTCTGTCTAGTTTTTTTTTCCCCTTATCTCTAGGTGAGTGTGCTCAGAGGGAAGGGGGAGACACCAGTGGAGACCACAAGTCTCAGTGCTGATTTCACCATTGCTCACATTCTGTAACTAAAAGGTCGAGAAACCTTTATGAAAAGCACTCCCCCACACTGAATGATGGCTCTGCATTCATTACAGATGAAGGTGTGTAATGAACTCGGGATGTTTCTGAACTTGTCATGCAGCAGCTTTTCTCATGGGAAGCACTGTTACCTCATCTCCACGAGGGGCATCTTTATCCAGTTCGCGCCAGGAATGCTCGATCTCCGGCTCCTTTGGAAACAGGTCATTTAAATCCTCGTCGTCCTCTGAGCTGGTTTCGATATTCCCTATGCCTCTAGCTAGATCAGGCCCACTGTCACTTTCTTCATCATCTTCTGAATCACTGTCTTCTTCACCTGTTTCTCCATCTTCTCCTGGCTCCTCTTCCTCGCCCGTTTCCCCATCATCTTCTTCCGCCTCCTCTTCTCCCGACTCTACACCTTCACTTGCAGAAGTTTCTTCCTCTAATTGGCTTTTCTTTTTTCCACTTTGATCACAGCTGTCTGTGCACAGAGAGACAAACATTACATCCCTATATTTATGGTGGAATTGCATATGATTCTTTAGAAAAAGGAACACTTCAGGTTTCCTCAATGCATATTTACAGGACCCCCTGAAAGGTGTAAGGATGGAGGAACAAATTACACCAGGGAAGTGCAAATAACACAAAACATCAGCGTTGCCTTGCTTGGTCTAATCTGATTTAATTGCTCTTTAGGCCCACAACTGCATTATCAGTCTCAATTCTAATGAAATGTTCTGCTCTTTTATTTATACATATAGAATTAACATACAAAAATCACATTTCAACAATGTAGGCTATAGACATGCGTAAGCAACCTAAAAAAGCTTTTCTTTAAAACATCTCTTCTCTCTTTAATCCCCTCTTATATTAATGGCTCAATCCTGCCACCTTTACATTTTCAGTCAATAGACTGTGATGTGCTGAAGCCTCCATGGTATCAGACCACATACTTGCTGTTTGGTTTGATAAATATAAATAAACACAGTGGTTTACAAGCTATCGGACATTTTACTTTTCTAACCGATCACAAATTTCAGCTCCAGCCGTTCAAAGGACAGGGATGTTCACAGTGTTACTGAAACACCAGCACTGATTCTCTACAGAGCTGAGCAACTCCAATCCTTCAGCAACACTGAATCTGAGTCAGGCAGCTTTTTTTATAACTGATCTTGCAAAAGATCTTCCGTGGGCACCAACAGCATCCAAGCAAACACAGATGAGCTCTACTAGTTATCTGAACAACTAACCTGGTTCTTTTAGTTTCCCTCCCAGGGAGTGGTCTCTCCTGGGAGCTTTCACTGATTCAACACCTCTTGCTTGTGAAGGCTTTTGCTTGCTCTGATTTGAAGTCGATCTTCCTGCTGATGCATCTCCTTGCTTGTTTCCCCCTCTGGATAAAAGGCCCTTGTTTCCCTGAGAGGGGTCAACTTCCACCGCAGTTTTCTTTGAGTCCTCTTTCAAGCTGAGTTTAGATTTGCCTTTTTTAACTTCCTTTTTAAGGTCATTTAGTTTTGTCTCCACTTGGCACATTTGCTCCACCCCTTGTTTGTTCATTTTGTTGTCCTTTAGACCACCAGCAGGTGGCTTTGCAGAATCCGTTTCTCCTTTACCTTTAGCTTCTTTTTTCTTTTTTTTTTGCTTCTTTTGCTCTTCAGCCTGCTCTTCACTCTCTGAAAGATCAGAGTCAGATTCTGACAAGGCATAAAACTTCCTGAGGTTCTCCGTGGAGGAGAAGTTAACGGGGCGACCCCTTTTGTCCACTGTGTACCTCAGCTTAAACTTCTTGTCGTGAAACATGGCTCGGAATCGCTTGTCAATCTTGACCTTCCGCTCTTTCTCGGGCATCTCCCAAAACCTGGGATCCCTCGCGACGCAGCTGAACCGCCCATCGCTCAGGATCTCCTCCTGGGATGACATTTTTGGCTTGGACATCTGCAATGTGGAAACAAACCAAAAACACACTTATAGTTCCAAAAAGAAAACACCAACAAAAACCAATTAACCAAGATTCAGATATGTAGCTGGAAAGGAAAAAAAAATTATAAAGGATTAAGCAAAGTTGGATTTCTAACCTATCCCTAAAAAGTCCTTTCCAAAGGCACATGTGGCAATTTCGTGGCATCGCAGACCATCAGGTTGGAAGGCACCTCCAGGATCAGCTGCTCCAACCTTTCTTGGAAAGGCTCTCTCTAGACAAGATGTCCCAGCACCCTGTCCAGCCAAATCTTACAGGAGTCCATTGCTGGGGAATCCACCACTCCCCTGGGGAGATTATTCCAATGGCTCATTGATGTCATTGAGGAAAACTTTACTCTGGTGTCTAAGTGGAATCTCCCCAGGAGTAACTTGTATCCACTACCCCTTGTCTTTTGCACGTGACTCCCGGTAAAAAGGGAATCTCCACCTTCTCTGCAGCCATCCTCGGAACAAGGATTGAACAAACCCACCTCTCTCAGCCTTCCCTCACGTGGCACCTCCCCAGTCCTTCGCTCATCCCTGTGGCCCTTCTCTGGACCATCTGCGGCCTGTCCACAACTGAGCTCGGAATTCCAGGCGTGGCCTCACAAATAAACCTGTAACTACCAAATCTTTGAGACCACAAATCTTTGTTTCCTTGGCAGTGGTGTCATGGGCTGCACTCAAAGCAGTGTGGGCAGCAGGGAAGGGGGATTCTGTCCCTCTGCCCCGCTCAGGTGAGACCCCACCTGCAGGGCTGCCTCCAGCAATGGAGTGCCCAGCACAGCAAGGGCATGGACCTGTTGGAGCCAGCCCAGAGGAGGCCACAAAGATGATCAGAGGGATGGAGCACCTCCACTGTGAGGAGAGATTGAGAGAATGTTTTGTTCAGCCTGGAAAAGAGAAGACTTCAGGGTAACCTAACTGTGGCTTTTCAGTACCTGAGAGGAGCCCACGTGGAAGATGGAGAGGGACTATCTACGAGAGCCTGGAGTGACAGGACAAGCTTTAAACTGACAGAGCGTGGGTTTAGATTGGAGATCAGGAGGAAGCTCTTTACTGCGAGGGCGGTGAGGCCCTGGCACGGGTTGCCCAGAGAAGCTGCGGCTGCCCCATCCCTGGGAATGTCCAAGACCCGGTTGGATGGGGCTCTGAGCAACCTGGCCTAGCGGAAGGTGTCCCTGCCCACGGCAGGGGATTGGAACTGGACGATCTTTAAGATCACCCACGGCCCCGGCTGCACGCACAGCCCCGGGTGACTCCCCGCCAGACCCACGCGCGGACCTCGGGCGAGCTCTGCCCGGCACCTCCAGCAGCTGCGGCAATCCCCGCTCCCCGCGCCGCTCCTCCCGCGACCCCAGCAGCAAGCAGAGCCCCGCAGGAGCCCCGGGGCGGCCCCGCTCGCACCCACCTTGCCCTGCCCTGCCCGGCCCTGCCCGGCCCGCTCCGCTCCGGCCCCGCCGCTCCCACCACGCCGCCGCTTCCCCGCCGCTTCCGGCGGCGCTACGGGAGCCGCGGCGGGACACGGCGGGACACGGCGCTGGGCCGGGCCGCATGCGCGGCGGCGGGGAGGGGAGGGGGGGCCATGAGGGGTCTGTCGCGGCCGGCGCTGAGGGCGGGATGGCGCGGATCGCTCTGGGCCCCGCCGCGCCGGGCTCTGCCCGCCTCTCCGCCTCCTCCGCCCGCGGCCGCCCCGGGGGCGCTGAACCCCTTCGACCGGCGGCTGAAGCGGAAGCAGAAGAACTGGGCGGCGCTGCAGGCCGAGCCCGCCAAGTGCGATTACCTGCGGGAGGAGGTGCGGGGGCTGTGCCCGGAGAGGGGACCCTGCGGGGGTTCGGGGTGGGTGTGGAGCACAACTCTGATGAGGAGAGGCTGAGGGAGCCGGGAGGGCTCAGCCCGGAGAAGAGGAGGCTCGGGGGTGACGTTCTCGCTCCCTCCAGCTCCCTGACGGGAGGGCGTAGCCGAGGGGAGGTCGGGCTCTGCTCCCGGGGCACTGGCGACAAGATGAGAGGGCACAGTCTCAGGCTGTGCCAGGGGAGGCTGAGCTTGGACATCGGGAAGAATTTCTCCACAGAAAGAGTGGTTATACATTGGAATGGGCTGCCCAGGGAGGTGGTGGAGTCCCCATCCCTGGAGGTGTTTGAGGAAAAGGCTGGACGCGACACTCGGTGCCAGGGTCTGGTTGACGAGGTGGTGTTGGGTCATAGGTTGGGCTCGATGGTCTCAGGGGTCTTTTCCAGCCTAACTGATCCTAATTTACCGCGGTGTCTCCCCGCAGGTCGGCGGCAGGATCGCGGACAGGGTGTTTGACATCACCAGGTGAGAACGGCTGGACAAGGAGCGCCTTCCCCGCGGTCCCGCAGGAGGATGCTCCGTGGGCTGAGTTTCACCAGGCCTTTGGGAATTAGCAGGTGAAGCTTAACGTAGCCTAAAACAGTAAAATGTTCCTAAGTCTTGATTGCGTATTGTATTGCTAATCTTGTCCTTTAGGACGTTTCCTCTGGCTTTGGATGTTGGCTCTGGACGAGGTTATATAGCGCAACATTTAACCAAGGTATTGGCTCTTCATCCTTAAAAGTGTTTGAAGTGAGTTCATCTGCACCCTCCATTGTCAAATAGGGCTCATTTATAACTTAAGTCAATCTTCTGGGTCTTGAGGTAAATCTTCCCCCCTCTCCCCTTCATACCTGTGTGTTTGGCAGGCCATTCTTAACTTATTGCCAGTGAAAACTTGACAAATGATAGTGCCAGGAAGCTCTCCATTATATGACAGTGAACTCTTAATTTTGAGTAGGAATATACATGTCTTTTGATCAGTCTGTTCAACACAGTTGCTAAAGAGAAGCATAATTATGGAAACTTTTAAGCCATGAACTGTTTCCCCCTCATGAACCATGCTGTAACTAAAGGTGCTTCCTTGGCTGTTTATATTTATATTTATATATATGGTTTATATTTAGCTAAACTTACGCCTGAAAAGTCTAGAATGTGTTTTTTCTTCTGCCTCACCTGTTCTCCCTGAGAGCAAATGCCATGTTGGGTAGGGGAAAATGCTTTCTGCTTTATATAAAGCTTTTATCAAGAGATGAAAGGACTCTTTCTAGGTTATTATAAAAAAGGGACTTGCCTCCACGCAGGAAACAATTTAAATACTTAATAGACTTTTAAAATTTTGTTTCAGGAAACAGTTGAAAAACTTATTCAAGTTGATGTGGCAGAGAATGCCTTGGTAAGTGGCTTTTTGAAGGCCATTAACGTGCTTCAATTCTGTGATACAGGAAAGCAGAAGAAGTGAGTTTCTGGTGTTGTTTCTCTTCTAACCCAACATTAGAAAAACGCTGTAGAAACTGAAATCCCCACGGTCAAGGTTGTAGCTGATGAGGAATTCCTTCCTTTCAAAGAAAACACATTTGACCTTGTTGTTAGCAGCTTAAGGTATGCACTAATCATTTATTTATTTTGGTTTGCTTTCTTAAAAATGTCATATAACATTCTTTTCAGAGTAGCTGAAAGAAAATAAAGCCTAAAAAGATAAATAGTCCATTAAAGAGCAGTAAGGAATGTACTTGAGTAGTTAATATGAGCCTGCATTAGGAAAATCTTCTGTCCTGGTGCTTCTTCCGTGTTGATTTGTTTGTTTTCCTTCAAAACATTTGTAGTTTCTCCCTTCCCTGTACTTAAATAAAGTAGTCTCCAGGACTGGAATCTTCTCAATTTAACAAAAAAATCTAAAAGGAAAAAAAACAACCCTATTTTACCAGCTTTTGGTTTTGTTTAATACCACTTTTAGGCAGGTATTTCAGAACTGTTGCAGCTCGAGAAACTAGTTTGTGGCTTTGGCTCCTGGAACTTAGTGAATTAAACAGGTGCATTCCCTCAATTTTATTAAATATATGATCAGAAAATGTATGCTTCTCTTATTTCAGTTTGCATTGGGTGAATGACCTTCCTAAAGCTTTTAAAGAGGTAAGAAACTGGTTTTTTTAATACTAAAAGCCATCACTTGCATGGAGAGCACTCTGTATTTCCAGATCCTCTCTAAATAAGAGGCACAGAAATAGCTCACGTTGCACACAAGTATTTTTTCGCAGTATTTTTGGCAGCTTGAGGAGCACCACTTGATACTGCTGCTAATTTACTGCCTCAGATCGATTCAGAATAAATAACTGAAACAACATGTTTATGTAATATTTTAAATTCTCAACAGCTGTGATCGTGGTAATTCCTGTCACCTGAGGCAATACAGAGCAAGGCTATTTCCTTTTGAAATAAAGCAAATATTTGTTGAGACAGAAAACCAAAACTGTATCTGGAAAAAAACACCAACACCTTATTTTGGATTAGTTCAAATTTGGATTAGCTCTTTACTGCAGGTGTAAACTTCAGTCAAATCAAACCCTTGGAGCAAGTATTTTAACCAGTTTGTTGTTTTTTCATTTATTTCAAATTGATCAGTCATTCCAGTGGTGTTCCTTGACCTGCTGGCAGGAATAGGAGTGCCCTACTGTTATGGAAATAATAAATTGGAATGCCTTCAGTACCTAAAAGAAAAATACTTGGAAAGAAACATATAATTTTCACTGGAATTTTAAGTGTTCTAGAGAGTGTCAAACATTTTTACCCCCACAGTAAATACAATATAATGTCCCACACAGGGGAGGGAACTGGATTTCTTGGCCAACCTTTATCGTGGATGCTCGTTTCCTCTGCTGGTACCACTGCCTTTAACTCATGGAAACTGCCTTTAACTGCTTAATATTTTTACCTGTCAATTAAGGGCTTTTTTGCTAGCATAGGAAAGGTAGTTTGATTAATACTTAATTAAAAAACAATTGTAAATATTTTTCTTTCAAAACTGCCGGAATTTTTAGGAGAAACTCTCTTGTTAGCCCCATTATCTAATAGAGCTCTTCTGGATGTCTAAACCAGGGATCACTGCCAATTCTTAGGGAAAAAAGCAGGAATTTATTGGCCTTCTCACTAAAACTTGGGAGACAAGAAAGGAGTTTGGTGTTTGAGTTGTGATGTGGCTGTTCTGGCCAGTTAAAAATAAGTAGGGGTAGACATAATAAAAGCTGCATTACTCTGTTGTCTCCCAGAAGTGGGAAGATCACTACTGGAAATTCAGGCCTCCTTCAATCAAGGCATTAAAAAATGCTTTTGCTGCTCTCATCTGACCGAGTAAAAGTGAGCAGAATCTGTCCTGATCTACCCTGTTTTCAGAAGTAACTTAATTGAGGATATTGTTTTAGGAGTATCCCGCTGAAAACAGTTTTACTCTCAGTTTCCACAGTTCCTTCTAGGTTTACCTCCTCCCAGTGTCATTTCTGGAGATTTACTATTTCTTAAATAAAAAACAGTCTCTGTTCAGCCAGATGATTTGTTTGCAGTGTTACCACAAGCTGTGGCAGAATGCACTCAAGTGTTAAAGACCTGTTAAAACAGCTATTTAAAACGACTGCTTTGGAGTTCATTAAAAAGGAGTCCTAAGAACTACATAACGTCAACCCTCGTTTCTGTTGCTGTGTTGCAGATCCACCAGGTTCTCAAGCCAGATGGGGTGTTCATTGGAGCCATGTTTGGGGGGGACACCCTGTACGAGCTGCGCTGCTCTTTGCAGCTGGCAGAGCTGGAGAGGGAAGGGGGCTTTTCCCCCCACGTGTCGCCTTTCACTGCCGTGGCTGATTTGGGACATCTGCTGTCCAGAGCCGGCTTCAACACCCTGACTGTGGTAATTGCCAACAACAGAACAACCACACTGAGCGAGCCAGAGCTGCTGGGATAGAAAAATCACTTTTTTGCTGATGTAATGTGCTGCTTCCTTCTGGGTGTCGTGCACCTTTGGTGAACGGGCTTCTGAAGTGGCTTGGGCTGCTGCTGTTGTGGGCTTTGTGGTGATTAATGGGACCGACTGAAGTGTGTCTTTGGCTCCTGGCCCGGTAGAATTTGGATGGTCTTCTTGGAGAAATGTCAGAGAACGTTAGACCTGCCTGAAAAGCCTTTAGACACTTGCTGTTTCTTGTGAAAGCAAGGAGAAAATAATGGCATTTCGATTAAAATTGGGTTGTATTGGGGCTACAAAGCAAAACCTTTTAGAAATTTTAGGACAGTACATTCTTCTGAGAAATACATTGCTTGAGCAGGAGAGGCAGATGAAGAGAATCATAGAATGGTTTGGGTTGGAAGGGACCTTTAAAGGTGAGTCAGCTCCAACCCCTCTGCCATGGGCAGGGAACAGTCCATTAACACCTCTGAAGATTGGCATAATGGTGCTGCTTTAGCTTGATGTGCTCTAAAACTGAGCTTCTCAATTCTTCCAGGATACCGATGAAATCCAGGTCAACTACCCGGGATTGTTCGAGGTCATGGAAGACTTGCAAGGCAAGTGTATTCTCCGTGGAGACAGGACTGTTTTCTGTGTCAGTGGTGCAGGCACAGAGGAGTTTCCCTGTGTGTTTCTAAACTCCAGATCAACTGGGTTGGAAGGGGTCTTTAAAGGCCATCTGGTGCA